CTTCACCTCTCTGCGGATTGCCGGCGCGCTGTCTCCCTTCGAGACCGCGTCCGGTCTCTGCCTGCCGGCTCAAATTTACATTTCGCTTGACCGATCAGCGGCGTTCGCGTTACACCGCGTCACGCGACGCTCACGCGAGCGCCGCGATTTTCTCCGAAGGAATCCGTCGCCGAGAGGGCCGAAATTTCCGTCGAGTCCGCTCCATTTCTCCTCCGGCACAGGCCGAGACGAGCGCGCGCGCGCGCGCGATATCCTTGCGCGTACCGCCGCCGGGCTCCAGGATTCCCCGTCGAGGAGACGAGCGCGAGCGGTCGCGCTCGTTCATTGTTTAGCGATAGTAAATGACGATTCCTCGGGAGAAGGCGAGGCGCGGTGTAAAGCCGGCGCCGGCATTCCCGACGTCGCGATCTGGCCGGGCTGTTCCGTCGCTTTTGAATCTAAATTGCGCGCGCAGATAAGACGGCGCTCGTAGAGAACGTGGATGTACGTGTGTAAAGATACGCGGTCTGCTACTTATTAAGCGACGTCTCTTTGTAGGCCTCTCGGTCTTATCGTACGTCCGCGATGTTCCGCGGCATCGCGTCGCGGTGCCGACGCGCGCATACCATCGGAGAGCTGCACGAGATGATTGCGCCCCTGAAATGATAATAGCCATTAGCGTCATATTTATCAAGCGCGTACGAGTCGCGCGGCTCGCGAGCGCTCGGCTCGCCGCGAGATTACACGGGGAAGTTAATTCGTCCGGCTCGTAAGTTTCGTCCCTAACGAACGAGCGACCTCGGCTCTCGCTGCCGAAGCCGAGCGATTTCCTCGCAGCTCGCTCGTGGAACAGTCCGCTTCGCTCCCACTCGGAGCTGCTGCTGCTGCTGCTGCTGCTGCTGCTTCTCCTTTTTCTAGCCGCGCCGCTTTTTTCCCCGTTGCCATTTCCGAGGCCTGTTAGGACTCGCGCAATCGCGTCGCCCGCGGCTGCGAGCTTGCGAGAGACTCCTTAATCGGTCATGCGAACAAAACACTCGTATCATCGTTAGATCGCTCACACGAGTAATTACGTTATCCATCGTTCGCGGCGATCGCGCGATCTGCCGCGAGCGCTTCGACATTCAGCGCGGTAAGAACGTGCGAAATTATCTCCCGACCGATGGTACGTGGCAATTTTCTGATTAGGATTTATGCCGCGGACATCGAGCGTATACACGCGCGAGGCAGCGAATGAAAGTATTGACTATCGTAAAGAGAAATATATGTCACGAGATTACATTTAATGCAGCGTTCGATGAGATGCAAATGTTTTTCAAAAGGTCTTGATGAATTGGTTTTCATTCACGGGCTCGGCCCAAAAATGCAGAATTTCCCCGCAGAGAGAGAGAGAGAGAGAGAGAGAGAGAGAGAGAGACGGAAGGGAGCAAGAAGGAAATTCGCAGAATTATATGTTTCGTTCGTTACACGAACGTTAAATTCCACTTACGGGAAATGAGTCAAGTGTGCGCCTTATAATTATCGAAGAATTAGCGACACATGATTAAAAAATATATATATGCCGCATTCGAGCCGGGTGTATTTTCGAGACGACCGCCGGGAGATATCTCCCCGACGAAAGTCCGTGATTGGATGACGTCGATCGAACGAGATTCCGGAAGACGTCGTCGACGCGGACGCGCGGCGACGCGCACAGCCGAGTGCGCGCGTGGTCGAATGAAGAAGCGAGCGATCTAAAATAAATGCGCAATAAAGAACCGGATAATCTGGATGCATATCCGCGGTCTCGTCGGCGCAAACGGCGCTGCCAGCGACTACGCGACTAGGCGACTAGGCATTAAAAGTGGATCCGTGGACATTAAGATTTCACGAACGCGCGCACGCAAAGTGGATATTTGCACCTCGTATCGCACATCGGTGGCGCGGCGGTGGCCGCGCCGCGCCGCGCCGCGCCGCGCTCGCGTCGCGGAATGCACAGTAATGGAAAACGCGCGTTAATCTTCCCTAATTTTCCTCCGCCGTGCCAGGCGCGCCCCACTAATTTCGCTTTGTCGTCGCGATAACGACGATGAACGAGCGGCGTATGCGTGTTCCTGTTGAGCATCTCGCCGTTAAATCCTTAACATGTCGAGACAGATCGCCCGGGCGATGACGTCTCGCGCGGCGAGTCGCGACTCGGAGAGAGCGAGAGGACGAAGCGGCACGCCGGGGCCTCCGCCGTCGTTTCTCGTTTGCCCTCGACGTTTAAGATTTCCCGCGCAGCGGTTAATATTAATAAGTGACGTGAGATAACAGTGTTGACCCATTATGGTCCCGCGAACACGTTCTGCCGATGAAGTTCTCGGCTTTGTTTTATTTGGAAGATGTGAATAATACAGGACTTTGCAGATAGACATTGCCCCCTCTCTCTTTCTCTCTTTCTCTCTTTTCTCTCTCTCTCTCTCTCTCTTCCTCTTCTTCTTTCGTATTGAAAGAAGCGATTCGAAGTGCTCGTGCGCGCGTAGCCGGCCAGCCGAAGTAATTCCACCTTGCTTGGTTAAGGCAACGCGCGAACTTCCAAGTGTTGAATCTGAACTCCACGGCTGTCCGTTTGCTTACTCACGTTTCGTATTGAGTCGTAATCAGTGTTAGCTATGTTCGCTCGAGCTTAAGATGCACCGATATGGTTGTAACGGTAGAGATATATTCCGCACGGTTCATCCTCGCGATTTCACGAAGCCGAGGGAACTCTCGCGAGCGCAATCCCGCGGTGTATCTCAGCGGCGTACGTTTGATAAAATTCGAAAGCGTACCGTTACCCAGCCCGGACGAGCGGGCTGGCTGTTCCTTGGCCGTTTCTCTCAGGTCTCTACTTTCTACTTCTCCGCCTCTCTCGCTGCCGCCGAATCCAAGTCCGCGCAGCTATAGGTAGGGGGGCAGGTAGATCCATAGCTGCTGCTGCGAATGTCGCGCGCGGAGCGCAGCGCTGCACACGCGCTGATCGTAAATTTCGCGGTACCGGTTCCCCCTAATCAGCGGAGCGGACCACGACGGCGAGGAGATGGAGAGGAGGAGACTACCGCGCGGACCAGCAGGCGCGGGAGTCTCTCTCCGGGCTTCTCTGTTCGTGGACGCGGCCGGCGCTCGTAAATTTCGCGCGACACCACCGGTTTCCCTAATCAGTAGCGCGGGACAGGCGGCCGGCTGGCCGGCTTGTAGGACGAAACGAACGGACGTATCTAGCCTCCTTTTCGCGTCTTCTTATTTGCGCGGGGCGAGGCGAGCGAGCGAGCGAGCGAGCGAGCGTGGTGGTTAGTAGTAAGGCAGGCAGGTAGGCAGGTAGGAGAGAACTTTCGTTCGCCAGCGATTCTTCTCAGCTTGCACGCGCTCGCTCGCTCGCTCGCTCGCTCGCGCACAAAGCCGTACGTCATGTCGAGCCGTTTAATGGCCTTTTAATACCACCTTACGAGCGCGCTGCGTTTCCCCACCCGCAAGACTCTCCTCCGCGACGCGGCGGGAGGACGCGTTGCCTTTGAATAAAGCGGCCCGGAGAGACGCGCCTCTCTCGGAGACGCGCTGCGCGCCGCGCACCAGGCCGCGTCTCCGTCGGATTTATCCCAGCGAGATGCGACGGCGGCGGCGGCGGCGACGGCGGTGTGGTCGCGCAGATTCCTCAGGGTCTGTGTCATCGGTCGTCGAGGGCAACGCAGTGCCTCTCTCGTAAACCGGAGGCGAATTCCCGGAGAGGTGAACGCGCGAGAGACTTTGATCCTTCGTCGCATTGGATACCGGAGCGGTTACGCGCCGCTGCGCTCTATCTCCCGCTGAATCTTCTTTGTTGCCTCGATCGCGCGCGCGCGGATCACTGTTGCCGGTGGATACCGGTGGGCGAATGTGTTTACGGCAAAACGAGCGCGAGATAAGCTACGATCCCTGCGAGGCCCGGGCAGTCCTTAAGCGTCCGGCCGGCGGTCTTATCGCGAGCGCGTTAATATCACGTCTAATGATGTAATATATAATTTAATCAGGAGCGCGCGTACTTGCGATTCTTCGTTGACACCTCCGGGGAATGCCTTCGCCTCGGACTCGAGATACCGCCGCGGCGACTGGAACCGGTAACGCTGGGCGCCATTCTTTTCGTCCGTCTCGTCCAGCGAGTTTCGCTTTCCACGCGCGAAGAGATGCGAATTGAAGAATTGCCCGTTATTCTTTCTCACCGTTGCACTCGTGAGAAGTCAGCAGTGCTGGGCTGTTGGCGCCTTGGCGCGAAAATAACGGCATTCTCACGCGATCCTTTTTTTCCGCCTCACACTGGTAGGAGAATATTTCTGATATCCTCTTTTCCCTTCGCTCGTGCTGCAATCTCGCTGCTGCTGCAATTGCTGTCGATTCAAACACTACACCCTGTCCGATATACATTCCCGGGGCGAAATAACAGAGCGATGCAAAAATCCACGGAACTTTGTAGGCGTGGTGAAGACAGCGAGCGAGCGAGAGAAAGAGAGAGAGAGAGAGAGGGAGAGAGAGAGAGAGAGAGAGAGAGAGAGAGAGAGAGAGAGAGAGAGAGAGACAGGAAGAGAACTCTTCTTCCACGGAACAGTTTTCAGAAACGCCGGCAAACAGCGGCGTTCCGAGTTCCGAGTTGCCGAGCAGCAGTGGATTCCTCCGAGGAAGAAGAGAGAGAGAGAGAGAGAGAGAGAGAGAGAGAGAGAGAGAGAGAGAGAGAGTGTATTAACGCCGCGGGTAGAAATGTGCATGCGTCTAGTAGTCTGTTAGACAACCCCATTATTTGCTCGTCTACCCACTTCGGATGCATTAGGAGGGATTTTCGCGGGACTCCTCCATTATGCGTGCACGGCCCAAGAGCACGGCTCGCGCGATTGCTGTGTTTAACGTCGAGAAGTGCATCTTCCACTCGTCGATAACAACGACGAGTGGAGGAGGCCGATCGTTATGTCACTGGTCGCTCGCGGGAAACGCGGACTCTCTCTTTCCTTCCCTCTCTCTCTCTCTCTCTCTCTCTCTCTCTCTCTCTCTCTCTCTCTCTCTCTCTCTCTCCCCCTTCCGCTCCCTCTCCCTCTCGGCACGGAGCCGCTCTTCGTATAAAACAATGCCAAGTACACGTAACGCTTTACGACATCGCCGGATACACACACTGTAAATATTCGCGAGTGTGTGTGCGCGCGCGCGCGCACTCTCGACGTAAAATGTAACATAAAATTTTATCATCTTTCGGATCTCTGTGGTAAAGACGGCTCTCTCTCTCTCTCTCTCTCGTGCGTCGTACTCGCGCCAGCAGAGTGTGCGTAACCTGAAAGTGCTATGTAGGTTTCAAGGGCGACCGATCGCATGTGGAGATTTCCTTGCGTATGCGACGATGCGCGCCGCAATCGTCAGTACGATTACGGTTTCAAGGAAAGCGTTTATCGCGAGGTGCTCATTCCCTTTCTCCCTTCATCCCCTTCCACCTCCCCGTCCGCGTTATTTTAACATCGAGCGTCTCGGTGCTGCGGGTAATCGTTACCACGCCTTGCAGAACTCGCGCGATATTTTTGTGTCCCGCCGATATATTTCGCCGAAGCGCGCGACGCGCTCTCTCGATCGTGTCTCATTATTCATAAAATAACGCCGCGAGACCACTCGAGTGCAGTAATTCCGCGGTGTAACACACACACACACACACACACACACACACACGCGCGCGCGCGCGCGCGCACATATACTTATTGCACACGAATTTTTATTTACACGCGGAAAGACTCGCGATTTATTCGGAATTCGAATCGTCGCTGTCTCTCTTGATCGTCTCGACGGATGATCTCTTCCTCTTCCTCACGAGCTTTTTGCTCCTGCACCTCGCCAGGAATTTCAACTCCTCTATGATCTCCTCCCTGTAGGACACCTGTAACGCAGAGTGCGAAGATTTAGAAGCAGCCGGTGAATGAACGGCCGGGCGAGTTGCGAGAACAAGTCGTCAAGCGCGTGTAATTACGTTATCTTTGACCGCGATGTTCCGAACGTTCCAGAGGAACGTCCACGCCGCGTAAAACCAGGACAGCGTGACTCCGCTTATCATAATCAGAAACACTCCGCCGACGTCTTCGAAATTCAACGGCTCGACTTTCACTGGCGGTTTCTCCTGTAAAGAGACACCAACTTGTCACTCGCGTCACCGACTTCTCTCTCGACAAGTGTCGGCCGTGTCACGAAGCTTCCGAACTTTGATTACACTTTGCCCGGCGTTGCTTTTCCTTCTCCCCTCTCAAAGCAAAGGGGAGCAAAGAACCGCAGAGCGAGCTTGCTGATCGCGGGCGCGTGTTGGACGACTCTTCCTAACGACGCGTTCTTACGACAAATTTGCGCCACAGCGCATTTGCCCAGTCAGGCTAGATTTTATTCAGGTCGCGTCTCGCAGGCTCTCGCGCCCCGCAAGTACGCGTTACCCACGCAGACCCCTTTGTTTGTCTGCAAAAACTGCGTCCGCCCGGATAAGTCGAAATTAAAGCCGCTGCGTGCTCACGGGTACGGACTATTTGCATTATTACGAAATGTTGCGGAAGAAACGGATGCATTAATAATGACGCGGCTATCAAAGTGCCGCGGGAAGAGCGCGTATGTCCACGGACGGTAATCCGCGTAATTTTTGCCACGGCACAAACGAGGTGAAGGGGAACGAGCGGGAATGACAGGTACGCGGGCAGGCAGGCAGGCAGACAGACAGACAGACAGACAGAGACAGACAGACAGACAGACAGATAGACAAATACATGGTCACGTACGCTGCACTTATCGCCGCCTCGTTTTTCTTTCCACCATCTGGTTTGCAACTCGTACATCACGCCGTTTTCCTTGAGCTTGAGTATAGCGCCGCTCAGGTCCGTACGATAACGCGCGTCTGTCATCAGAGAGGAGAGAGACGGTTGCAGGTCGCTTCTCAAGTTAGCTCGTCTCGATCGTTTTCTCAAGCGACGAGACGAGACGAGACGAGACGAGACGAGACGAGACGAGACTAGACGGCAGCCAGCGCTTGTAACGCGTCCGCGTTACCGGTTGGACGCCGGCCGATCGGCCGATCGGCCGATCGGCGGCGCGTTACACCGACAGCACGTGTAATACAACGCGCCGCGCGTCTCTCAGAGATTACAAAGATCGAAGAGCACCGACCTTTCTTCATCGCGATCCCGTAACCCTTGGCGTCCAAGAGCCCGCCGATCTGCGTCACGTTACACTTTCTCTGCTTGATGTACTCGATCGACGAGGACTCCATGAGGTACGCGTAATTCTCCTGCTGCACCTTCCGCACGCCGTCCTCGTTCTTCTCCATAAGCACCTCGTCAGCGTGATTCATCATGTAATTATACATAATCTCGTACGGTTCGTGCGTGGCGTTCTGCGCAAACGAGATCGATCGAGCCGCGAGAGTAGAGGGACGCTTCCACCAGGCAATAACACCGGGATATCATCGTCGGCCAGTGCGCGCCCCGGCCGTAATCGATAGTCGTTAACTGTCTATACGTTTCTACTCGTGTTCCCCCCTCGCGGGATGTCACTCACCTTGAAGAACGAGAGTGTCGAACCGTCCTTCTTCGCGCCGTACTTAATTTTCTGCTGGTAAGCGAGCTCCTCCGCCACCTTGAAGGGCCACACGGTGGATTTCGTGGATAATGCCGCGGCCAAATTGGCGATGTAGGTGGAGCCGATGATCAGGGTGAAGAACCACCATGCTGTGGCCAAGGCTCTCGTTGAGATCCCTCTGTAAAGTGCAAATCGCGTGTTCGAGCTTCTCTCTGGGAGGCGCTCGGCTAAAGCGGCGACTGCGGCGCTTTTCGCGCACTCGCGTGTTTCCTCTTACAGAGATAAATTCGATCGGAATTTAACAAATAATTTGACGGCTGCTAATCGTGATCGATAGATCTCTCGGATTGAAAGTGTTGCTCCGCAATGTGGAGCACGAGTGGTGACTTTTGCAACAGACTCGCGTGGTACTTGTAAAGAAATGAAATCCGGTTTGTGTAAGGCTAATAATTTCGCCGACGACCTTACGACCAAGTTACGTGAAGAAAATGGCTTGTTTTAACGTCGGGCATGAAGCTTCGTTGCGCGTTCAACGACCCGTTCAGTTCCATGCAACAAAAAACATCTTCAGCCTCTGCGGGGACCGACCGGGTTTCATCAAGCGGGTGGGGATCGACTCACGCGGGCGCAAATCCGGTAGGAGCCTTCAGTAAAGCACCGATCACGAGGAACGGAGTGTTGGCGAGAGTGAAGGGTGTCTCCAATACTTCGGGTTCCTTGATACAGGGATACGGATTTGTCCATTCGACCGGGCAGAGTTTCCCGATGAAGAATAACAGCGACGTCACAATCATATACGCTCCGATCAGATGCATCCAAACCTCCTCCGAGTACGGCAATAAGAAAGACAGCAAGCCCGGCGGAGCGGTCGTTGGCTGTCTGTAGAGAACGCTTATACCTGAAACGCCGATCGATCGGGATCGTGAGTCGGGTCGGGATTCTGGGATTTTGCGACTTATGCCGAGCCCGCGTCGCTCGTCGCTGTCTATCCGCGGTGCTTTACCTAGATTCATGAACGGGGTCGTAAAGTCGACGGCGCTCTCCCTTTCCGCCGTGATGGTCAGATCCGTGATCGCTAGATCCGCTTCCTTGCAAATCAAACGAGAGATTAATCGTCTCGCAGGAATTCCTATGACGAGCACGATGCTAGTCGGCGGACAAGCGGGTCAATTTGTTCTTACACTCGATATATAGGGTCGAGCGATTTAATAACGCCCTTCAGCCATGGCGTTGCTGGAGCGAGAAAAGGAAGAAGGGCAGGCATCCCTCTTACGTCTCAATAAATATCAATTTTCGTATGAACGGTGATCGATTTTGCGCGCGGAACAAAGCGCCGTGAAATCACGTCGTGTCGCCGTGATGTATCGGAGGCACGCTGAAGAGGTAGCTACTTTACCGATGTAAGAAGCTACAACGTGCCGCTTTCGCGTCGTGCGCACGGTGAAAGGTAGCAGCACTACTCGCGAGGCCACGTGGAAGATCGATCGAGTCCCGACGCTCGTCGTCTCTCCGTCGTCGATTCCGTTCATTCCGTGAGATTTCTCCTTTCCTTTTTCTTTCTTTCGCGAAACGCGAGACGCGAGACGCGAGACGCGAGACGCCTCGTCAACTTACGCCGGCGATTATTTTGCCCAGCATGCCGTTCCAGCTGCCGCTCTTCTTATTAAGCGACCCGTAGATGTTGTCGCTCTGCACGTGAAACGTGTAATTAAAGCCCAGTATCTTGCTCATCTCGTGAATAATGTCGATCGCGAAGCCCTCGTACCGATCGTTTCCAGTCCTTATGGCGGCCGATTGCTTGAGCATCCCGTACGGATCCGTCTGGAATTCATTCCAATTTAATCGGGAATATTCGTCTCTCCCCCCTCCCCCGGTCGCTTCAGCGTTATTCCAGTGTTATTTCAACTTGGACGCACGTATACGGTATAATACGATAATACAGACAACAAGTTGCAATCAAACTTTCCCTCAGTCGCTCATAATTGATTTGCGCGAAATGTATCTTGAGCCAGAGCAGAAGCATTATCGCGCGCTCTTCGTCGCTTCTCTTCGTGTAACAAGATAATCAAGTTTCGTCGTGTTGGTAAAGAGAACCTCTCGACGAGACTTACATTCGCGTCGTTCGTCTAATCAGATAATTTCATTAGGATTAACGCGATAACACGCGATAACGGCATGTGCGCGGCAGCGGTTGGAACATACCAACGATATCAGGACGATGAAGTGTTTGTCGCGCAAGCTCTTTTCCTCGTCCACACCGGGGATGTTGTATCCCGGCTTCCAGTGTATACCGCCGCTCGTCCTCCACTCGCCGACTTTGCGCAGTCCTTGCTTCTCTAGATTTACGATGTCCAGCTGGAACTCGCTGCGAAATCCGTTCGTGTCGAATCTTATAGCCCCGCTCAGCCCGCGTATGCGCTCCTACAGGCAAAAGTGTCAAAAGTTCCCCCTTCGGAAAGGGGTCATTACGCAGGAACTTGCCCGGGATGTTCCCCGAGACGTGCGCCCCCGGTCTCACCGACGATTTATTCGCGTGCTCGGTTGCGCACGCTTTACACGGTTCGCTTGTCTTACATTATTACGAAGGGGGTAAGCGCGTCTCCCTTTGGACTTTGGCGTCACAAGCACCGCGAGGGTTACGAGGGTAGTCCCAAAAGTACCTGACCGAACAAGGAAAACACAAAAGATTTGGGAAGAAACATCTTTATTTCTCTACATAATCTCCTTTCAGCTCAATACACTTTTCCCAGCGATGTTCAATAGTTGCGATACCTTGTTTATAGCGGGAATCGTCGAGCTCTTTAAAATAGCCACCTTGGTCCATTGTTTTGACTGTTACTTCCTCTCAGGTGTGAAGTGACGGACCCATGTTTCATCCATGGTTACGAATCGACGCAAAAACTCGGCTTTATTCCTGCGAAATTTCGCGCCAAATACTCGATTGGAACATCCTCACGCTGTTTTTGTTCCAATCGCGGCACCCATCTTGCGCACAGCTTTCTCATGTCCAAATTTTCAGTCAATATGCGATGTACAGCACTTTTTGAAATGCCCACCATGTCTGCTAACTCGCGCACTTTCAGTCGACGGTCATCCAATACCATTTTGTGGATTTTCTTCAGCATTTCTGACGTGGTCACTTCATTTGGTCGACCACTGCGATGTTCGTCTTGGCAGCTCGTACGGCAGCTCGTTTAAACTCTGCCACCCAATATTTTACTGTTGTAACTACGAAGGAGCAGACTCCCCCAGAGTAGAATCTAGCTCCGCTTTCATATCGGTTGGACTGAGGCCTTTCAAATCAAAGTATTGTATCACATAACGATGCGACCAATTTTTTCCATGTTTACAAATTCACTGAGAGCGTTCACTATTGATGGCTGCCAAACAACAAATACTAAACAGCGTCGTAGCGTCGTCAAACCTCAAACTTAAGCTTTGTACTATAAGGTTGGTACTTCCTACCATAGTCATTCTTTTCAAACAACAACCGCTATCTGTACGTCAGGTCAGCTACTTCTGGGACACTACCCTCGTATTCGCGCTCGATGGAACCGGGTCGCAATGTCGCGGAGTCCGATCCGCGGAGTAACGAGTCGAGCCGCGTCGAAATTATGTCCCGAATTCATCCCTCCGTCTACGTGTACCATCGATCGAACATCCGAAGGCGTTTTCTCGCTAAAAACAACGCCCGACAACACTCGCGCCACGTACGTTTCGCATATAATTACTCAGACTGAAGCCGTGGCCCCAAGTTTCCGTGCGGTTGCAAAACAGCTTCTTGAGATTCCCCTTGACGCTGTCGCGCAGTCGCGCGTAGCCGCTCGCGAAAAGTTGCACGGCGTCATAAGCGAGAGCCGATTCCACCCTCAAGTGGGAGCCATCTGTCAAGCCCCAATTAAGAGACCGAGATCGTAGAACTCGCCGGACAGTCGGGCTGTCCGGATCGATCAGACGCACACCCGTTAAATTCACTCCGGAATATTGGTGCGATTCTAAATCCAAGGTCTGCAGATCCTAATAATAAATAATAATTATTATTATTAAATATTAAATAGGATATTATTATTGTTATATTAAATGGAATGTTATTATCGTTACGTTAAATGGGAACGCGAGTTACGTGCGTTTGCGCACAACAGACACGTTGACAATTTTCTTTTCCCGCGAATTTATTTCCTCACTCCACTTTCCACTCTTCATTTCGTTGCACGTCGGTCGTGTCAACAAAATGGAATTTACGGGAATTAAGTGACTTACCAATGAGGCAACGATCACGTTGTATCGGTCCGACATTATCCCGACCTGTTGCGCCTGCTCGAGAACGGAGGACAGGATGTCGTACGAGCAGTCAATTATGAGGTTTTTGCAACCGGATATTTTGACCTCTCGCATAGTCCTCCTGCGGGTAGAATTCGTCTCGTTAAACTTCGGCTCGCTCGTTCGCTCGCTCGCTCGCTCGCTCGCGGATCTTGAGAAAAATCCCGGTAACGACGGCACGTGCGCGCGCGCACGAGAGCGAGCAACGCGTCTACCTCCGCATCCGGCACAGTCGTATCGTAAATCATCGCGATATTTTCTGGCATTTACGGCCGGGCTGAATAATGATGCAGGTGCATAATAACTCGGTTTGACAAACGTCGCTCGCGCATGCACGGGACTCGTTCGGGGAAGGAACTATTTATACGGTCTCGTGTATGCGTGCGTGCGTGCGTGCGTGCGTGCATGCGTGCGTGCATGCGTGCATGCGTGTGCACCTACCTAAAATTCGGTCCACCGCCCAAGTGAAACACCATCGCCGAGATGGTGCTCATGTTCGGCAATTGGAGGAGACGATTCATGCGAATCAGGCTGTCGGTGTTGTCGTAAAGTATCGCATATTCCTTCCATTGGTACTCCGCGATGATGTCCCGGAAAACCTAGACAATCAGCGCCGGGGATTAATCTCCGTGATGTGAAGCGCCAGCAACGATCATGTGTCGAATGAACGGGGAATTTTTTTCCGAGGCTGTATTTTTTTTTCTTTTTTTCTTTTTTTTCTTTAATTTCGATCTTTGCGCTTTTCGCGATCTTCAGCCGAATTACTCCGACGAGGTGCAGTCCGTCGAGGTTGAGTCGCGATTAGCAGACACTCGGAATCATCGGCATGAAAATGAACAAAAGCAAGAAGTACCGTGGAGAGCGTGTTGGCGTGCGGATATAGATTCACCATGTTTCCGCGTTTCGGCTCGGGATCCCATCTGGCGGCGATGTGAGGTATATCCAGGGTATCGCACATACTCTGAACATGGTCCACCGTCGATTTGCCCTGAGGACCGAACATCCCGGCCACTCCGCTGCCTAACAACTCGCACGCTGCACGCATTGCCCACAAGTGCTTAACATGGTCGGTGTATCTCTCTCTCTCTCTCTCTCTCTCTTTCTCTCTCTCTCTCTCTCTCTCTCTCTCTCTCTCGTACGTGTTATTCGCGTCGGCAGTTTAATTGTCGTTTAACCGACAATACATCGGACGGTCGGTTTGTGGCGAAGTTGAATCGAATTTACCCTCGGTTGTGTAACGCGCGAGCATCGATGAGTCAGCGAACAAAAAAAAAAAAAGACAGAAAAGCTCACACGGTATTCCGCGGAGCGAGCGTAATCGTGTTAATATAGACACGCGTTATGCAAGAGTCGTGGCTACGTGCGTACGCGCGTAGATGCGAGTGTGTGTGGAGAGTAGGAAAAGCGAGATCTGGTATTAATCCAAGAAGAGAGAAAATAATGACGTACCTATATCGCCCACTTGAAATGCGTTCTCGTTGACTTTCTCGGTCTTTGCTGTCAACAGCACGCCCATTGCGTGCTCGGAGGCAGTGATGTTTTTGTTCACCGCCTTGACCGACAGCTCGAACGCTTTTTGAATCATCTCGTCGCCGTCGAACAATCCCCCTGCGATCATTCGATTTCGAGCGCTGCATTGATTATTGCTACTGTGTGCTTTGTTCGCGCGCGCGCGCGCGCGCGGTGCGAAAAGGCGCAGCTGAGCTTACCGATCGGGATTCTTCTGGGAAAGCCCAGAATGTTGGGCATAAATGCAACAGTGACGTACAGGAGCAGCATTCCTCGGCCATTCTAAAAGAGGATCGTAGTTCTAATTACATAGCGGTGCGCGCCGCGCGTATACAGCGAACGATCAACGGCGGAAAGAGATCGGCATCTTGAGATTGAAGGAAACGGGACGGTTTCCTTCGCGCCATCGTGCTTGCGAGAATTTTTCACATCGCCGTAGTTTAGACGATAATTTCGATATTTTTCGAAATCTCGCGGTTAGGTAGAACAACGTTAAACGATTCCTTGTCCTTTTTCTTTTTCGAGCCATAAAGAAAAGTCGAAAGTCGAATAAAAAGAAATTATTTTGGTGGAAAATAAGGAAATGCTGTGTATTATTCTATATATCAAGGAAATACAAGAGTAATAATCGCTCTCGAGTGAAGAAGAAACGACGCCTAATTTGTCGCACAGAGAGACTACTCCTGCTTCGAAAGAGCTTCGGAGAGAAATTTTTTTGCCGAGATCTCCAATGGCTTTCGAGAAAATGGCTTGCAACACTTTGCATGAACCACCCTGTATATACACATAGCCACTTGATATATTTAGACGCTTCGCGCCTCACTACGTCAATGCACTCTAAAACGGCCTCTTGAAATCCACGCTGAAAACAACACCGTCGAATAGCACGCTGACAGTTTTTGCGAACTGTGACGCATTGATACGGATTGATTTCCGAGTAAAGTTTCCGCGCGAATTCCACTTTACTTTGGAATCGCGCAAAAAGTTTGGATGCGTTTCGTTCGAACAGACCGAGCAACATAAACGTTCACGAGCCGCGGTAAATATATTTCAAATGCCTCTTATCTTGTACTTCCGTTAGCAGAAAAAACTTCATAAAAAAACGTTTCATACGTGTCTTTCCCGAACTTGTTCGTCGTTCGGGAGAATAATTTTCTGCTTCGTCGACTTTGCCCTTTTTTTCGAGAGCTCACTTCCGCTCGCAGTCGTCAGCAAAGCCGATATTCGTATATTTAGAGAGCGAGAGAACCTCACTTCGAGCACGTTTCCTGCGGGATTCTACGCGTATTCTGGACCGACCGAATTAATTTTAGCTCAGCTTGCTTGTGCGTCATACGTCGATCTCGTAAATCTTTTCCACATATGGTTAACCATGTATCGATAAAGGAGAAGCGTGTTAATGCGGTGTTTCGGCGGTCATCGCCGGTCACAGCGGAAGTTCAGCGGGCGGACGCGTCTCCGCCGCCGCAGAGTCAACCGATCGCGAAAGCGTGTAATCGCGAATAATCGCGCGATTGTTTCCCCGTTTCTCGACGAACTTAACCAGTTCTCGGTCACGCGCGATGCGGTAATCGAGAGAGCTTTTAAATCGCGATCTCATTGTGACAAAGCGTTAAGCAACGCTAAGTGTGAGACGAGCTACATATTATCCGCGCGGTCAGTTGCCAAGGCAGAATGCTGGCGCCAGAACGCGCTCTCGGCTCTTCTTCCTTTTCGCGCGGCAAAACGAACCATTTCTCGAGTCGATGCAATGTTACGTGGCCGATGCTTCGCAAGTCCGCGCGACGGCTCGTGCGGAGTATCCCCCGCTCGCGTGTGCCTGAGCGTGCGTGAGCGATCGGACGAAGAGGCGAGGCAATACTTTTGTTTATCGCTCGGCAGTGCCGCCCAAATCGCGCTTGACAGCTGCGTGGGACTGCAATGTCGCGCGCGCCCGCGCGCGATCACAATCGGAGCCTCATCGAGAACGATTTTCGCGAAGCACTGTGCGCGGAGAGGACGCGGGCTCGCGGGCGTTCGCGCGCGCGCGCGCGAGACGGAAACTCCCCGTCGCCGAGCACGGCTGCTGTGTCGCGAACCGGCGCTATCGGAGTCAGTGGCTAAACTATCCCATAGCCACCGGTTGCCACTATTTCCACCACATGCACAGGCTCGAGAAGTAGGTAATAGGACCGCGTCGTACCTTCTCGTGGGCCGTCCTCCTGCTTTCCTCTCTTGCGCATGATCGCGGCTTATCTCAATCGGGCGAACGCCGCGATTCTCTTATCGTTCTCTTATTACCGTGCGTCACGGCGGTTCCGCGAATTCGCCGTCGCTGGCGCCGGAAGTCGCGCGAACGCGACTAATTACCGCGCGGGAAAATATAGCGCGGCCTCCGGGGACGGTCCGGCGGTCCGTGCGCGTGAATCGTCGCCGATTTTTTCGCGGATGGGATTGGCGCGGAGCTCTAGCTCGGGGCTTGTGCGCGGGGAATTGTCGCGATATCTCGTACAATCAATTTCCTTCACTCCCGCGATTCTGGCCCCTTCGTTTTGCACACGAGGAGATAGCTTCGACTGATTCATCATATTTACGTGTGTTGTTTGAAATGCGAGAAATATGAAACATGCCGTGAGAGGAATCTACCGTGAGAGGATCTACGGTATCAACTGTAAGACTCGTTGTCTTTCTAGCGTCAATCTCGGCGACCGCCGCCGGCGTACGGAAAGCGCGAAAGATCAATTATAAGGCCCCACGTTTGAAAACAACATGTCGTGTGTATTTCTGACAACTCTTGTAGAATTCATTAGAAATCGTGTTTCTTATCATTTTCTTTTTCGCTCGGTGTCCTCTAAAATGTTGACGATGTGATTCGTGTTAGTTCGAAGGAAAATCCACTCGAGACCGCGAGCCAACGCGGGCAATGAAGCCATAAATCCGCGTGAGCTAACGGTACTTTCTTTTTATTATTATTATTATTATTATTATTCGAGACTCGCATCGTCGTCAGTTGTCGTCAGTTGGCGACGTTCTTATTACTGTCGGCACGAAACCGTACGGAGGGGTGCAACCCCTTGTGCTGCCATTGCCGCTTTTACTGGACAGTCCGTTTCTTCTTCGCACCGTCTTGGAGCCGCTGCATCTTAAGATAAATTTCACTTCGCTCACCAGTTCTTCCTTGAAAGACACCTAGAAGATATATTTCCCTTGAATCAACTGATTACAGTCTCCAATCAAGCGTTCAATGAGCGTGGAAAGGGGGTGGAATTGTGACCGTCAAATCGATGAAATTATTGAACGCTCGCCACGTCGAGATCTTGCGAGATTAAATTAACTTGAAGTCAGTCGAAGTCGAATCCCTCCAATCAATTTTCCGCAAGGACACCGGAGGGGTGTCTTCGGAATCGAGACTGATAAATTAATTAAATGACACCGGCTTCTATATTCCGGCTCGTTTTAACGGGAAGCGCTATGGCTGGTATTATAAATGAGAGAGAGAGAGAGAGCGAGAGAGAGAGCGAGAGAGAGAGAGAGAGAGAGCGAGAGAGAGAGAGAGAGAGAGAGCGGTCCGCTTACATTTTCCCGAATGGACGTTCGGGCAACATCCCAAAGTAACTCGAGTACGGTGTACACGCAGGATAGGGCAACGCCTACGGCGAGTACCAAGAATACACCACCAACATTATCGAGACCTAGTTCCTGCGCCGAGCTGGTTCCGCCGGTCTCCTAAGAAACAGCGCGCAAACGGGCGGATTAAGACGGCGCGCGATGCGCAATTTGCATCTTGTAATAAACTTGATCGCCGCTTACCCGACATTTCCCTCCGCCCCGCTTTTGCGTCCACCATTTGTTCTTGAGCTCGGTTATTTTGCCGCTTTCCGACAGTTGCAGAACGGCTTTGTTCATGGAGTGCCGATAGGGCGAGTCTGCAATAACAACATTTTTCGTAACAGCGCGACGAGTGATTGACACGCGCGCGTGCGCGCGTGATCGTTAAGAGAGCAACTGCGAGAACAAAAGAGAGGCGATTAGCCGAGGGAAACATTTACGCATTGCACATCATGATGACGCGAGAAGCTGCGGTTCATTCGTGCGAGGCTCACATTTCTTCATAGCGATGCCGTAGTTTTTCTCATCCAGCAGCCCGCCAACCTGCGTGACGTTGCACTCCCGCTCCATGATGTACTCGATGGAGCTGGATTCCATTAAAAACGCGTAATTGTCGGTTATAACCTTCTGCACGCCGTCCTCGTTGTACATCGGCAGCACGTCATCCGCATTGGCGATCATGTACTCGTACATTTCCTTGTACGTGGAATAATTGCTTTCCTTGGGATTGCCAAAATTCTTTCAAAAAACTGAATTAGAATGTACGCTCCCGAGCTTCTCATGCCTATTTTATACGCTACGTGGATTAATGCAAAAGCGTCTTTCTTTTGCGGAGTTGCTCCGTGGTGTATTATTATTTCAATCAGGGGGATGAGGCCATCGTCTAAATAAAGAAAAATAAAGAGTGCTTCCCGCTACTCACTAGGAGAACTTTTAGTCGCGTGAAAATATGTGGGTTGCGTTAAAAAGGGGTGGCATTAGAAAAAAAAAGAAAATGCTGGTGCAAACGCATAGCAAATGCTAATACTATTAACAAAATTGTCCAAGTGCAACTGGGTCGCGCTAATGTCACGTTTCACTACCGTGATTATTAATAACTTTTCTAGCGTGACTGTGCGCGATCACGTTCATGCAGAATTAATTGCTGTCATATTTGCGATATAAAACTACTGCTATTGCCACAAGTATCATCAGTAAAGTATTCGTGGATGATGTTTATAAACAGTGTGATGTAAGCACCAGAAAATAGAAATACGGGGAAATACTGCTCTGTGGGGGATTCTTTTACTTGTCTTACGTTCGAGAGACTATTCTTATTCGTTATAAGAATAGTCGTATGCTGCCTGATATCCTGAAAAACCTATCACTAGCGACGTAATTATTTTATTCGGACTATTAAAGTAACAGAAGCTGTTTGAAGCACGAGTAATCATCAGATAACTTGAGAGAAATTTGGACAATTTCGGAAAACATTCAATCGAATTATGTTCTATATATCTCTTTTGTTTCCGAATAAGATGATAATTTGTACAATCATATTTCGATGAAATTTAAGAAAGTTTTACATTTCTATATCTTTCGTGCCATGAGGTTTTCCTAATATTTCATTTTTTATTTTATGATTAATATGAGTATTTTTACACGTGGCAAATTGATCATGACGTTTCTGATACTCTCAATATTAAGAATGACACGCTATATTTGTCAGTATCTCTGTGAATGCATGAAGATTAACCTACCTCGAAGAACTTGAACGTCGATCCCTTTTGTTTCGCTCCGTACTTTACAGTCTTCTTTTTTACGAGCTCTTCGACATTGTCGAACGGTGACACGACCGTCTCTATGGTCAAAAACGCCGCCAAATTTGCAGTATACGAGGACACTATGATCAAACAGAAGAACCACCACGATCCCGCCATCATCCTCGTAGAAATGCCACTGCGAACAATGAAAAATTTTAATCAACGAAGTGATTCGCAGCAATTGCAATCGCAGTGGGTGCACCCGTTAAAACTGTAACTGTGAGTGCGATGAAGCGAGTATTTTATTTCCAACAATTTTTCTTTATCCCGATACTTTAATAATTTATATATTGAAAAATATAATGCACTCACATAGGTGCGATCTCGCTGCCTTGCTGCATAATACTGCCTATCGCGAACCAAAATGCATTCTTGAATGTAAATTGATTCTCCAATTCTTCGGCATCTTCGATGCACGGATAAGGGTTGTTCCATTCCGCTGGGCATAGCCTACCGATCATGTATAACAGGATAGACACTACAATGTAGGCCCCAATTAAATATAACCAGACCTCGTTTGAAAACGGCGACAGAAACGAAAACAGACTCGGTGGCGCTTTCGTTGGCTTTTTGTAGAGAATGCTTATACCTGTAAAATGATACGCAACTTTATATTTGGACTGCATATTCGTAAATCGACGATATTTGGTCAAATGACAGTAGAGGACGTGCACAGTTATTTAGTTTTGTAAATTTTACAAAATTCGACGATGCGGCACGAAAGCCCTTTCTATCTCGTTGTCTTTGGCACATCACGCGGCGTTGAATTATTACGTAGATATTAAACTTAACTAAATTCATGAACGGCATCGTGAAGTCGACGGCACTCTCTCGTTCGGATGTGATCGTCAAATCCGTGATGGCCAGATCGGCTTCCTGAAAGAGACAGCTTCTGAATATCATGCTTTCTCAAGTGGAAATTTAGAGAATTTTAGAGTCACGCGACGACCGACACAGAATTGCATTGTTTACCGCATTGAACCAACCTCGGCTATAATTTTGCCAAGCATACCGGACCACCTGCCGGTGTATTTATTCAACGATCCGTAATCGGACTCCACCTGCAGCGTGTAATTGAATCCCAGTATCTCGCTGATCCGATGTATGATGTCGATTCCGAAGCCTTCGTAGCGATCGTTACCGCTCAGCATCGTCCACGATTCTTTACGCATGCCGTACGGAGGGGTGAGGGATATCAAGACTATGAAGGTTTTATTTTGCAAGCTCAGTTCCACATCCGACTTCTTGGTAATCTCTGGCAACCAGTCGATGTTCTGTCCCGACGAGCTGTTCCACACTCCACTCTTGATTAAGCCGTTTTCGCTCAAACGTACGATATCCAGTTGTATGTTGCTGCGGAAACCGTCTCTGTCGAACTTAACGAGGCCTGTCAGGCCTCTCGTTTCAGTCTGAAAGCAAAAGATTGCGCGATAAGATTTTGTAAGGATAATTATATATCGCTACTGAGCAATGCGAAAATTTATATACAACGTAGTCTCCGTCGTATATATATCTGTCGTTAAAAGAAAGAACCGAAATGTCGAGTTCATCTTCAGGTTGATTTTACTCATTGATGCGGTGAAATATTATGCTTGGCGTGCGGCAGCTTCTCGCGTACGGAATACCTTATTTCGAAAAAGAAGTCGCAGTATTTTTACTCAACTTTAGCCTTACCGATCGCATAAAGTTGCTCAAACTGAGCCCATGTTCCCATCTCTCGCTGCCGTCGCACGGTAGCTTCTTGATGTCACCCTTAGTGGCGTCCTTGAGTTGCTTGAAGGCTCTCGCGAAAAGCTGCACCGCGTCGTACATGAGCGCCGGCTCGACTCGCAGCTGCGAAGGATTGTCCAGGCCCCATTCGTTCTTGTGCTTTTCCACGGTTTGTTGCACCATCGGATCTTCAGGGTCAATAATCCGCATGCCGGTGAAGTTGACGCCGGAATACTGATACGGCTCTAAGTCCAGGGTTTGCAGATCCTACGTATATGTACACACACACACACACACACACTCATTAGCATGTATTTCACCCGCGAGAGCTTAACTGTCAGGCGATTCGTGCTAAAATAAAGCGCATACTACGCCAACCAAGTTGCGCCCGTGATGACACTCGTGTCGTCAAAATTTGCTTTCGACTCGAAGCGCTGATCGATTATTATTCGACGACGACGTCCTGTTATTTTTACAACGTAACTTTACATTTCTCACGTGAGCTTTTATTATCTGTACAGCATTTTCTCGTATTTCCTTCAACATCTTTCGCTTCTATCGTGATCGCCTGATGTCGCGAAATCGCGAAATTCTTTCGGTAGATTAGATTTTCACAAATTTCTATATATAACGAAAGTAAAAAGAATCGCGGAGGCGATCGCGTATAGTTCCACGTCTTGTCTAATTCTCATTTTATTTTTGAGTCGCGTTTGCGACGCGTGTGTAACTCTTACCAGAGAAGTCACGATTACTCGGTAGCGGTCCGACAAGATGCCAACTTGCTGGGCCTGTCTGAGGACCTCGCTGAGTATGTCGTACGAGCAGTCGATGATGATGTTCTCTAATTCCGACGCCTTGATCTGTTGCATCACTTCCCTACACAGGATTCGACGCCAAGCTGTACAATTAACCCACGTTCTTCTTGGGAAACATTCTCGACTACTAAGCTCGCCGATCTTTCTAGTCCGATCCCATCTAGTCACCCTCGGTCGCGAACGTGATTTTTAACGACGCGAGTCGCGACGCAGTCGTCTTCTACGACCGCGCGGCGACTTGCGTTTTAGCATGATCGAGGACATGTCCCGGCGGTGCCTCAAGCATCAAGAGAACACTCGTTCTTGAACGACTGGGGAGAATCAATGAATACGCGAATACCCGAACCGAACAAACAGGAGAAGGGAGAAGAACCGTTTTTCCGTGACCGTGGGATCGAAAGACCGTCGACCGTGAGATGAAATTTTTCTGTAACGTATACCTATAATTCGGCCCGTCTCCCAAGTGATAAATAAACGCGGAATTGCCGTGAGGGTCCCATCGTCTCAGCAGAAGACGCATGCGGATGAGACTGTCGGTGTTCTCGTACAGTATCGCGAAGGACTTCCACTTGAAATCCGTGACGAGTTGGTCGTAAACCTGCCGACGTTTACATCGATTGCGTGCGATTAGATGCGACGGTGTTTTCTCTTTTCGCGAATCGGTCAACGCGATCGGAGCATTGATTTATACTCACTCGCGCTAACGAGCTCACGTGGGGATACAGATTTAGACCTACTCCACGTGGCTGCGACGGCTCGGAGGAGTCTTGTCGCACGGAAATGTGCGGCACGTCCATCGAATCGCACATGCTTTGCACGTGCTCCGCGATTACTTTGTCCTGAGGGCCGAAGACCCCAACGACACCCAGATTCACCATCTCGCATACTGAATGTTTCGAAAAATTCATTTTGTTCAATCGCGCGTAACACGACTAGGCGCGCGCGCAACTGCCTTCTCTGGATCGCATTGCGAAAGAGTTATGAGAAAAGAGATACGTTTATTTCTCGCCGGTAATCTCCACGAGAATTCGCGCTGCGCTCGCCACGTTGCGCTCGCGCGGATTTATCATTCGAGAACGTAAAGCTTCGTAGATCCGTATTCTCCTCGGTCTGTTTTATGTGAGGGTAAAGAGTCTTTGAAGTACGGACCGTTCTGACTTGCTTGATTTATTTGATTACATTCATTTTTCGCCAAAAAGACAACACGAAGGTCGCGCTCTGTATCAAACATAAGACGAAGGAAGAAACGGTCAGGCATTTCACGTGGCAATAAGTATGCGATGAGACAAGCGACTATACACATTCTTGTTAGAGGCTTGCGAAAGCTCGCGTACGATGTTGCTGTTTTCTAGCTATATTGTTTGATAAAAATATTAGGTGTACGAATGAATAGTCCAATTTTTTCAGCTACATTCAAGGTTTATTTCAAAAGAAAGTAAGTTAAATTGTTCAATCAAAGCCGTATTCGCCGTTGCTTTCTATAACTTTAAGCCATCTTGCAGGCAGCTGATGAATTCCATCTCGGAAAGATGTTACGTCTTTGGACACGATAAAGTCGTCAAGCCATTTTCGGATCTCATCCACTGATTGGAAGTGCATATCGGACAAGGTGTGTTGCATCGACCGGAACAAGTGATAATCGGATGGAGCAATGTCTGGTGAATACGTCGGCCATGCTGCAAGACGTCCCAGCCAAGACAAGATTATGGTGTCTTTTGTATTGGAAGCAATGTGTGGCCTGGCGTTGTCATGCGACAATTTCGCTGGACGTTCTCCCAGTTTGTCAGTATATGGGCGTTTTCGTTCCAATTCTTGACTCAAGCAGATTAATTGACGTTGGTAGCAGTCCGCGCAGTAACTGTTTCACCCGGTTCCAACAACTCATAATAAAGCACGCCCTTGATATCCCACCAAGTGCAGAGAAGAATCCGCTTCTTTCCGAAGCGATTGGGTTTTGCGACCGATTTTGATGATTCGCCGGGATTTATCCACTACTTTCTGCGTTTCGGATTGTCATAGAGAGATCCATTTCTCATCGCCCGTAACGATTTTCCACAAGAAAGCTGCCTTCGACGCTGCTTATTGAGAAGAGAAAGACACGCTTGTTGATTTCAGTGAGTTCATGCGGAATCCATTTTCCTTCTTTTTGGATCTTTCCCATCTCACGTAGGCGTTTGGAAATTGTTTGCTGCCAACTGTTACTCCCAACTGTTCTGCAAGCTCTTTTTGTGTTTGTGCCGAATTCTCAGCGAGCAATTGTTCCAAATCATCATTATCGCACTTTCGAGGGCCTTCAGGGCGTTGTTTGTCGATTAGACTGAAATTATCGCTTTTAAACCGCTTAAACCAAAATGCGCACACATCGTACGATACAGCAGCACCTTCGCCGAGAAAGGAACAAATCGATTCGCACGCTCTTGCAGCATTTTTTCCTTGTTGGAATTCGTAAAGAACGCAGTGTCGGATATGCAGCTTATCTGTTGCCATTTTCGACCGTACTGAACTGAATACTTTTGAAGGTTATGTTGGGCCTTTCGCCAAACTATATGTTCTTTTTAATAGCTATATGTCAACATTGCATAATCACGAAAGAGCGGAAAAATGTATTCAATTTAAAATTGATTTCATAACTGCTTAAAATAATTTGGATTATTCATTTGTGCACCTAATAAAAAACTTTCTGGTGAAATATGAACGATTCAGAAATGTCGCTTGAAGTTCTCAGAATTCCGTCTAAATTACATCAAGATTTCTGCTTAACTTAAACAGAATTCTCGTTCGAATTTTCAGTCGCAATTTCTGAATCGTGCATGCTTCATTTCGGAATGTTCCATCCAGACCAGATAGTCGTCTCCGCGTGACGAAACTGCATGTGCTATGTTCAATATTTGTCATTCATATTCACTATTTTCAGATGCCCTCCTCTGAGAGAGGTGATCGTTTGCGATTCCGTGTCTAGAGAAACGACTCGTCTTTCGAGCGATGAAGTCAACGTCGACTCGACGAACTTTTGCAAGCGCTCCGTCTAATAATACAAAATAACGCGTGCGACGCGCTAATCGCGCAAAGAGCTCATACCTCGAGCGGACACCTCGAACGCGTCCGGTTCAATTTCATTCGATTCCGGCATCAAATATACGTTCGACAGTTCCTCGTTGTCATGCCGCTCCTTGTTCACCGCCCTCACCGATGACTCGAACGTCCGCTGAATCCCTTCATCCTCGTCGAATAGCCCCGCTGTAACGTACATCCAGCTCTTTTTAAAGTCGACTCTCACCGACACGACATCAAAAATAGCTCGCGAGGCACTTCCGCAAAGTAGCGCGTCTGCGTCTCGAGCGGCTTGTCGTTAGCGCGCAATTCTTCCCGGAACATCATTTTAACACACAGACGCTATATATTCGATCATTTGGCAGGGCGAGAGATATGGCGAAATTCCTCGCCCGAGAAACCCGAGTGGTCCGCGGTAGCTGATAATATCGTGACTGATCAATAGCATCGAAAGCATGTGACAAAATTAATACGACGAATATCGTATACGTAGTATACGTGCGTTTTCGAGACAAGAGAGCGCGTTATTTCTCCTTTTCGTTTTCCATGTCATCATCTTTCGATACGCTTCGAAGTCCGCGATGAATCACGAACAAGGGAAGCGACGTACATACTCGCGTCGTCCGCCGCGAACTTTATTCGCCGTTCTTGTCGCCCGTTTATCTCACCTACATGCACCTTCTTGGGGAAACCTAAAACGCAGGACAGGAATATCGGCAGCAGTATCAGCAGGCGTTTGGCCAGCATCTTATGGTCATTCTGTGCACACACAATGGAACAGTGTTAAAACGCGTCGGTCGATGCACGAGTATGCGCGCTCACGGACACACACATGAGCTCTGACGAGCGTCTCGACAGGTGCTGGTGCGTATCCAATAAACTCGGATGTAAACGCATACAGCGTGCACAACCGGACGGAAAGATCCTGAACGAGCACTTAACCGGTCGACGTTATATAAACTAAGCGCGGAAGGCACCGCGGCCGCGCCGCCCGCCTGAAAGTCGCTCTCTCGAAGCGTATAAATATTTAGACCCCCGTCTAAAATCAATCTTTCAATATTGAGTTTAGTTATTTGCTCGACGAGCACGCTCGTAATAATTCGCCCCGGTCTACGCGACTGCTCTGAACCGCGTGCGACAAATGTCGCCTTATTTTCCTGCGAGTTGACTTTATCTCGCGGGTGAAAAAATAGATTCTCCCTCTTTCTCTGCTCCACCACGACTATCTGTGCGCTACGCGGAAAATTCATTAGATGTTGACGCTGACGCGAGCGTAGCTCGGGAACTACAATAACTAATTCTTACAAAAATTCTTGCAGTCTTAGATAAAAGATAGAGGATAAAAGTCTCTCTGCGAAATTCCAGTTGACGGTTAACGGTTGATATTAGGAGGAAATTTTGATAATAAACTGTTTTTTTTTTTTTTTCACTTTTACATTCAAGTAACTCGTAAAACTGCACGAGAATTTAATGAAGAAGAAGCATTATACATTTATCGAAACTCAAGTGTCTTCTTTTTCATCATTATCATACTTTTCTTTAAATTTCGCTTCAGAGCGATTCGAAGCTAAAGATAATCTGTAAAACGATAATCCGTAAAGACATGGAGACTTCAGACAGACAGATAAACATTGATAAAGCGAGGTTGGCGAATTTCTTTCAAATCTGTGAATTAAATTCCTAATTTCTAATCTGCGGTAAATATCCGTCGGATATAATTCGGGCCGACTTGCTTCCGGCATAATTAATGTCCCGGAGATACTACACGTAAATGTGCGTCCGAGTTTCCTGTGCGTGTCTTTTACCCGCCGCGGAGAGACCAGCGTCTGCCCCGAGTGCGTGCTTTTAGCAACATCACACGCATTCAGAGTTCCACGGAGTCTACTGTCATCGTGCCAAATGCACGCAGTCTGGCGCGTTCTTTTTCATTCATTCATCGGCAGACTGCATTCATGGCTATTTATCGGGGCCGTTTTAGAGGGGCCCTTCTGCGAACGTGTCGCTCCGAGCGAACTTGAAGCGCGAACTCTCCGCGAGGAGAGTTCGCGCCGAGGCCGCGTGTCCCGCGCGATCCAGCACATGCCGCCGCCACGACATGGAAAACTAACGAAAATCTTTCGCAGAGCGCATAACGACGCCGATATATTTAGACACCGAGCGTCGCCGCCGCCACTGGTGCTTGTCGCGTTCGCCGTGTGACATAGATTTCGACGGGACACAATTGGAAGTGTTTCTTCGCGAGCAGTCGCCGCGGCGCGCTTAATTCGGCCTAGAGTCAGGCGAGAACAGCGTAATCGTCTTGCCCGTCTCGCTCGTCCTCTCTAATCATTCATCACGCGACGGGATATTTAGAGACGCGATATTCTCTCCTCAAGAGACCCTCCGCTGATTCTCCGTCCGTCCGAGCGTTGTTGATGCGTGTTTCGGCGAAAATCTCCGAGGAAGAACTCCTCTCCTCAGACGTTAATCCCCTGCCCCTGGTCTCTCTTGGTCGAGTCCGCGTTACTTGACGCGCTTGAGGATCAACTGGAGATCGTCGAGCGATCTCGTCGAGTCGGCGACCGACGAAGAGACACGCGTCGTGCGTGTTACGCGACTTTCCGTCTCACGTCGAGAAAGGGAGCACGAGCGTCGGGACTCGAGCGGCAGACAGCGGACGCGTTAGTCCGAGGGAGGGGGGGGGGTGTCTTTCAAGGGCTCGCAAGAGTGCTTACCTAGAAGGCGACGATGTTGCTCGCTACCTGGGACGGAACTTTTCAGACGCGTGTTTCACCGAACGAACCTCGCGGCACGCGACTCTAAATCCGAACGCCACTTCTCGTGCGGCTCCTCGGCGGCGCATGCTCTGAACTCTGTTCCAAGTTTTCAGGGTCCCCGTCGTCGCGACGGAAGACGGCGGTGCCGTCGTCGCTCGCCTTCGTCGTCGTCGCCGCCAACGCGAACAAGTCCAACGCGCAGAAGAGCGACGGCCGGCCGTGACAGCTGATGACATCAGGATACGATTGCTGGCTCGCCGTTTAGTTTCTCGGAGAAAATTGTCCTCCTTTCCCCGCGGGAATCTCATTGTGCGTTACACGGGAAATCGAAATGCGCGAATTGTCCGAGTATATCGGGGAAAATAACGATGTCGAAGCAGCCGGCTTTCCTCGCTCGTCCCTCAGGGATCTTATCCTGCTGCGACGCACGCGGGGAAACACGTGTGGTACTCGTATAGAACTTTTGACACGTGTACCGCAATTTGAACTTTAGCCTCTGCAGATAATTTGCTGATGGATGTTACGAGACGAGAATGGCAGGCAGAACGGATTAATATTAATATGGGAAGGCAGGGATGGGAAGATAGAGCGGTGGCAAAAAGCGCAATGAAATGAACGATCTAATGAAGAATCGGAAAGAGATCAAGCGTGACGCGCTTGCGCTGCGATATATCATCGAAGCAGTTTGAAATATTCCAAAAAGATCAAACTTTAGCCTTAATGGCTAAATGGATTTCGCGCGGGGAATTATTAATCACTTTTCGATACTTTGTCCGCATTAATCACACTTTGACTCGATTGTCAACTACAAAGCTCCGTGAGTGTAGCATATAGTTAGCGCTAATTACCGTAAAAGTCGCTCGTTTAGTCGTGCACTTGTAACGGCGATGCTCACATCGCCGACTCGCAGATACAAATTGGAGTAAATAAATTAGCTAACTACGCGGATGCCCTGGGATTAAGAGTGAGGTCCAAGGCGAGCGCATTAATTTGGTAGTTAGAGAAAATTAGTCGTGTCGGCGCGCATAGGGGAGCAAGATTCTAATCGCAGCAGCTAAAAGTATAACCACGAGCAATTAACGTAAAAGTGGAACTTATTATTAGAAGTGCCAACCCGGCTGCGCGCTGTGCGCGCGGAAACGCGAGAAGCCGTTGTTGTTGCGGTGTGTTTCAGCGGCGTTATCGTTCTTTAATTTTGCATCATAATTTGTAATCTCCGCTGGCGCTTGATCCCGCAACTTCGGGTTGATTAACCGCGCCCACCAGTCCGTTGACAATCTCTCTTTCTGTTTATATCACCAACATTTTATGCAACCCACGATATTACCATTCGTAACGAAACAAAACAAAACAAAAAAAGAAAAAGAGAAACGGACGACGACTCCATTGTTCCATGCGAAAAATAAAATATACTTTCTCATACATGAATGTAATATCTCTCGATTCATTATACATTCGCGCAGCGTCATTTGGGAGTCGTGTTTGCGAATAACGCGACATTCGAAGTAAATAAATACGTTTTCGCGCTGGACACTATTGACAATCCCTCTTTTATTCGCTGATCAGGTTTCTCGCGGACGCTAGCGAGTCGGAATTTTTTCGGAAGCGTGTTACAGAGGCCGACATAGAAGAGGAGAAGGGTATCGGTGACACGCTGCGGCGACTGGATGAAATTTGCGCGGAAAGTCGTCAGATTTACTCTTCAGCACCAATTACAGCCGCGAACGTTGCTGCACGTCGGTGCAATTCGCGCAAACCATCAGCGCTTGTCGGAGGATCCGGGGGGAGGGTGTGCGACGAAGGCGTAATCACAACATGGGGCGTTCGAGTGAGAATTTACAGATGATTAATTTATTCACGTTTAATATAATAATGCTCGTAGTACATTTTATATAAGAAGTAGAATCGGTAGGCTTCTTCTCTCTTAACAAACTCGTATGTCGTGACAACGCAAAGTAACAAGTATGTAATATCGACGATATTTACAGTGAATATCGTATATATATGTGTGAGTGTGTGGACGCGTGTGCGTGTGTATGGCTTTGTGCGTGTATGTATGTGTGTGTGTGTGTGTGTGTGTGCGTTCGCTCGCTCGCTCGCTCGCTCGCTCGCTCGCTCGCTCACATGTGAATATGTATCGCGCGTTTGTACGTAAGTCTATGACCGCATTCGGAATTCGATAAGTCGTGCGGCGGAAGAGAGGGAAGGGGGGAGGGGGGAGGACGGGAGAACGACGAAATCCGAATGGAAAGTTTGCGTAGAGAAAGTTTAAGTGGAGGGGAAAGAAATAAAACGTGGGGAGGGGAGGGGGGGGGATTTGGCTCCGCGTGTCCTCGCTTTAACGCTCGGTCTTAAAATAGCGTCCGCACGAGCTACCAAAACGTCATGTACTCCTCCAACGCGACGTCGAACGTTCGGCTTGCCGCGACACTCTTCGCCGAGGGTCTCGACGCTAGACTTCGAATTTGGGCTTGTGTGTTGCTGCTCGCGCGTGTATCTTGCTCCTTTCGTACGACACGCGAGGGAAGAGAGGAAGACTCGAAGAGAAAGGGGATAATACTCGGTTCACAAGGTCCGCGTAAAACACGATCGAATGTGGCGCGGGAACATCGGTCGGACGAACAAGGATCAGCGACACTGATCAACGGCGATTGCGATTCGGCCAAGCCAATTCGGCCGTTGATTGCCGAGGGTTTCCCGACCCCACCACGCATTCGACGGATGATTCGACGTTGACGACGCGTCTCGAATGTGGCTTGAAAAATAGACTATTATATCTAAGTAGTTTAGGTAATTAGAATTAGAGTCGACGAATAATCAACGCTCGACCAGTTTGTCCAAATAATATCTCATTGACCACATGGACCCCGTCATACCAGCTAAGGTTTAAGGAATGTGAATCGAAGTAAAGTATGCTCAAATATATCAACTATCCACCGCGCGCGCGCGCGCGGTTATACACGGGACGGTCGAGTCACGATAAAACAGCGCAAACGATCGCTCGCACAGCCTCGGGCTTGAAGGATTCAGGAAGAAACGTACGAGATTGTTCCGTTATCTATACACACGAATCAAATCCGCTCGGTCGTCGCGCGGAGACGGACGGCCGGGACGAAATCGCTTTCCGCCGTGTCCGAACGAATTTACGTACTTCGACGACTAATATCCGCTGGGAGATCGAGTGGGATGCGCCTTAATTACGAGATACAGCGACAGTACAGCTCTAACGTTGATGAAAGGCCACCTAAATTCCATGGATTCTCTCTCTCTCTCTCTCTCCTCTCTCTCTCTCTCTGTCTCTCTCTCTCTCTCTCGTTCATTCGCTCGTTCTCGCACGCACTCGCCTCGCATCGCGATTAAACAAGGAGACCGAGTTCTCGGACCTCGCGAAGAGCTAGACGGTGAACTATCTTAGCCGACAGTGATTCGTAAAACAGGACATATAAGTGTATACATTCTTTTACAGAAGCATGTCCCGAGTCCCGTTGTTGTTTTTTTTTGTTTTCTTTCTTTTCTTTTTTCGCGCCGACTCAGTCGTGGAACACCGCGAAATTTCAGTCTCGCGACGAATTTACAGGAGCCTCGCTGCGCTGCTGTGGGATCTCTGTGTGTGCCGTCGTGTTTCAGCGGACGTTGTGCAGCGCACGTAGCGCCGAATTGCGAATTCGGTCTGGCACTCGACAGAGAGGCAGGGAGATCTCTCGATCTCTCTCTCTCTCTCTCTCTCTCTCTCTCTCTCTCTCTCTCTCTCTCTCGACAACGCGGTTGTTCGTTTCTCGCACATTCAGGAGCAATCTCGCACTCGGAAATGAATTCTGCGCGGCTACCCGCGCCTGTGGTGTGTGGGCGGTTCTTCGTTACGCTCGTATTTAAAATCGACCGATTCTCGACGCGTTCGCGAGCGAGACTACGCCGCAATTAACCCTCCGTGAAGAAATTCATCATTCGGCCTCTCCCGCTCGGCCAGACGTCCCTTTGTTCACGTCAAAGGTGCTTTCCCGACGAAGTGCCTGTACTTGTTGCACGCCGCGTATTTGCCCTCCTCCGAGACGATCGACAGACTCGAATGTTGCCTCCGACATCGACAAAGCGCCCTCCTCGGCGGCTTTTTATTCCCGCTGCCGCAGTCCAAAGCGTATCGCAATTCGCTCGCCATTTCCGAGCGCACGGACTTCTGAAAGTTCGACGAAAAGACGATTGCGAAGTGCTCACGTACTTGATCACGAACGAATCGTGCAGCTCAAACTCCCCGCATCGGGTATGGACATTAATTTCTACTCTGCTTGCAAAGAGCCGCTCGAAAGTTCCGTTAGAGGAAGCTTACTTTCGGCCGAAAATATTTCGGCTGAAACTCGCTGCCGCCGCTCGATTGTGAAGCGCTCTATGTGTGTGTTCGAGCTCGTATTAAATATATATGACGAGAGAGAGAGAGAGAGAGAGAGAGAGGAAAGCGATTACGAGACAAGAGCTTTATATTTCACCGCGGTCAAGTGACTTAACTTGTCTCGGTATCTTCGAAAGTTCCGGCCGAGCTAGTGCATGCAATAATTTGCGATTGAATTTGAGCGCGCTTGACAGATTCGCACGCAGACGTTCTGAAAATGTCTGGCTCTTTCTGACGTTCGATTTAATCGTTATAGCTCCAAAGGGCGGGAGGGGTGGCGATAAAGTGACGAAAACGTATAGAAGAAAGTATACACTTCGAGTTGATTACCCGAAGAAGTTGAGAGAATCGCGGCGAGAATTTTCAGCGATAAACGTCGAGATACGTACGACCCTTTTCGGCTATGCGGATTAATTCGTGCTAAAACACCGACAGTAAGGACAGTACAAATGAAAATCATGAACTCACCTCCTGTGAATCCGTGACGGGAGAGAAGCAAGAAACATTGCGACACAACCAACAATGTCATACTAAACTGCCGCACAACGCGCGGCCCTTTCAACTTGACTCACACAACTACGGATAATTGCAACTTTTCGCAAACGCAGCGTTCGTGTGACAAGCGGCCTCATCCCGTGCCGTGATACAGAGATCCGTCTATTCGATAACTTGTTCGGAATCCGCGTGCTTCTGCGCATGGATCGGCAGTACTTTACATTGCGACGAAGGGAGCATATGGATATACAAATATATGGCGTGGTGATCCTCGTGAACGCGTACGTGTACGTGTGTGAGTGTCGTCCTTGCACGCTCTAGTATCGTATTACTCGCGCGCGCGCGCGCGAGTTAACTCTTTCGTTTAAAAAATCATACCGCGATTAAATTCACGAGAGTAGACGGGCAAGTACGTGAAAAAATGGAGAGAAACTATGTTGCGTACGCAATTGTCGAACGAATCGGAATCCATTTGCTCCTTCGATTATCGATTATAAAGCCATCATGTCGTCTTGAGAAGCGAACACGGATTTCGCGCACACATACGATCGCATTTGGCTTGACAGGCTACACATTATTTACAGTAAAACGTTTTATTTTTCCTCCTCCTTTTCTTCTTCCTCTTTCTGTTAACCTGGCACACTATACATTCACTATCTAGCCGGTATAAAATCGTGATTGTTCGTGTCGTACCGCAGCACTGTAATTCAATTGCGAACACCGCGGCTGTGTACTTGATTTTATGTTGATCGAGACGTTTGTGACTTCGCGAGGAGCGCGGGACTCGGCCCTTCCTCCTATTGCGAGGCTTCAAGTCTTCGTTTAATTAATCTAAGTTTTGATATGAGCAAATGGCAAACACGTTGACCTTTCCAATCTTGTTCTCTTTTCCTTTTCTCTTTTTGTCCTGCCTCGTCGTCTCTCGATTTTGGGCCTCGCCTTATTGGGTCACGCGTATCGTGATAATTCACGGACTGTGTTGTGTCGAAAATTGGCGTCGCTTCGATTTCATTGGATTTCAATAATTCCACTCTCAGAGGATAGAGAGCGAAGCTGTGTTTGACTCCGATAAGGATGGCTGATCGGCGCGTTTCTCGCCGCGATTATCGAACACTTTGTATTTCTACTCGAAGCACCGGCAGGCACACTCGACGAGGAGGAATTTTACAATTCTTGAGCCGTTTCGTCGAGCCAGACTGCGCCGGTGCGCTTTAGAAGATCTCGGTGGGAAAATTGGAAAGGTCAAGGCTCGTTGCTTCTCCTGTGTCCGATTAGTTTTATTTGTCCCTATAATTTTACGATCTTTACACAGTGTTCGGTCACTCGTGATGGAGTTCTTCCTTAGGTCCACTGAACCCGGATCGGATACGCTTTGAGGTACGGCTTGAGTTTAAGAATCTGTTTTCGTAGCGCAGCGCGTACCGTCGCTAGTGCAGATCAGTAAAACCTTCGCAGATCGGTTTCCCCGAGGATTTCTGCTTCTAAAACAGAACATCAAAATGCCCGAGTCAGATTCGTTACATCAGTCGTTGCGTGTAACTAGTCGGTTGTGACGGAGCGCAGATGAAGCCGCTCGGCGATATGATATCATATATCCCTCCTCACTCTCCGCGAAGAGAAGAATGCGTAATCGATAATAGTCAGTCAAACCTGCCACACTTGTACTTTCGACATTGCCGCTTATTCAGCGGCATCAAACGTAAGCAAGTTGTCGCAGCTTTCATGTGAATGCACGGATATTTACAACGGATTATTATCCAACTATTATCCACTGACGAGAATTTCGACGTAGTATTCAATCTTATTTCGTCGTCGTAAAAGAATAATTGACCCGTCGCGACGCACATCGACGAACATTGTGATCGCTGCAACGATCTTCCGTAATCGGCCGAACCGAGAGAGAGAGAGAGAGAGAGAGAGAGAGAGAGAGAGAGAGCCTTTACGAAAGTCGCGAAAGTGTACCGTGACGATTTATTCCGAAACCCGTACTTGTTCATCGCGGAACGCTCGCGGGACTCGCGCGGTCCTCTACGTGATCGATCTAAGCCGCTTGGAATTTTTTGGAGGGATTCCTGCTGAATTGTACCTGAAGTAGCGCGCGATCGAAAAAGAGCCGCAGCGATACACTGCGGCGTTCGTTCGTCAGTTCGCCATGGGGGGGGGGGAGGGAGGGTCGTTTGCCGTCGAGTGCGCGCGCGGTATGATCTGTGCAAAGCTGCATATTCGTATCCCTGGACGAGCCCTCTTCAAATAGTTGCCTGTTTGCTTACCCCTCGAATGTATGCAAACGGCGGCTCGAATGCATATCGTAGACCGCGCGCGAGCCATGCGAGAGTCGCGGGGCTTCCCGTCCGTGCACGTTAATCTCATTTCTCTCTTTCGCGACCGAAACGCGCGCCCGGCTCGAAATTTTTTCATTAAGTCTTCGCCGGCTACTTTTTCGCGGGATCTTTCCGGTGATCACAACGCTGTTGTGTGATATCGGTGAACGCGATTCTCTCTCTCTCTCTCTCTCTCTCTCTCTCTCTCTCTCTCTCTCGTGTGCGAGAGCTGTATTAACACACCATGAAATTGAAATAACTGATGTCACTCTCCGACATGTGGAAATTGGGGGAGAAATTTCACGCGACGGAATACAAGCTCGCGTTGCGTGAGCGATTCAGAATGAAAAGTTTCCCGAGGGACTAAAATTTACAAGGAAGTCCGCCTTGAAAGCATATTTCAGATACTCGAATCAAAGTGAATCGAAACGGCATTGAATTAGTGCAAGATGCGAGACATCCAATTTGTAAACTGAAGAGTTAGCTTCGAAATTCTTATATTCCCTTCCGCGTTGCTTGATCTCCGAGAGCGTCGCATAACGACGCAACGAGACACCGTATGCGAGAGGCGTGACAGAATTTCCCTTAACGCGTTCTAATTGCATGAGCAAGAAGTCCGCGTACACTTTAGAAAACCTATTGAAATAAGATTTCAATGTATCTCATTCATGGACGTCGTCGCGGGATAGACAGGAATGAAAAGAGAGACATGCCGCGGAGATTCAGGCAGCTGCGAAGCTAACCCTTCGCTTCGTGAACGCCGCTAATTAATCTCCCGAAATCGATCCCCAGCGGGGGCGCGGGCGGTCCTTCCCGAGCGGTTCTTCTACTTCTCCGCTCGCTGACAAAAATCCCCCGGACCAGATTTCCCCGGCCGGATTTCCCGCGATTTCTCGCGAACGTTCTCCCGTTGGCGCCTTTACGCGCGAGAGCTTGCAGAGCTAGAGCGCGCGTTCTCGATTCTCGAGACTGGCCACTTGCCGCACCGACTAACGACGATATTCGCGCGCAACGAGACAATAGGGATAATGACGTGGGCTAACGACGCGCACGAAACGGTTACGCCGACGGCGGGAAAGCGAGAGAGGAAGAGTGGAAGCGCGAGCGCGAAGGAGGTAGGTAGTCGCGCGCGGGGCCGCTCTTCTCTCATCCTGCGGCGTCTTCGTCGAGACGGCGACGCGATCAGACCCGAGTGGTTCTGCACCGAGACCATTAGAGAGGAACTCCACCAGCGTGCGGACATCAACTGATATATTCGCGCGGTATGTCGGGATAGATCGCGTCGGGGTCGAGCCGCGTGGCGGACCCCGGCGCGACGTGGATTTCCGCCGAGGGACAGGAGCAGGGAACGGAGGAGGAGGAGGAGGAGGAGGAGGAGGAGAAAGTGGTCAACGCGCCTTTCTCCACGTGTTATTTCACGTCACTCACCCGTTCCTCGATCGCGACCTTCCGGCTCTTCCACACGAACTCGCAGACAGCGATGACGCAGGCGACGCCCATCCCGCCCATGAGCACCACGAAGACGCCGCCGACGTTCGCCAGGCCGAGCTCGTTCGCCGCCGAGCTGCTCTTCGATGTGTCGTCCTGATCGCGAGAAACATCGATTAGCCTGTGCTAGAGCGATTAGCATTAACGCGAGGCCGGTGGTTACGGCCGAATATGGCGCCGCTGCATCGCTGATGCTGCGCCAAGGGGAAGCGGCGGTTTTCGCCCGGTGTTGCATCGTTAATATCGCGCGCGCGCGCTCGGCTTTATACGCTTCACTTTCAGGTGTTCATTATTGAGGCGGCGCGCAGAAGGCGCGCTGCACGTCGATAATATATCGCGAAAATCCGATCGCGCGAGCTCTCGCGAGCTGATGGATTAAAGCGTCGGCTGCTGCTCATTAAATGGCCGGCCCGATTGTCCGAGCTGCGCTACTTTTGCAGCGTCGATTCTTTTGATCGCTGCTTCCAAGCTGCATGCCAAGAAGTTCTGTCGCTTTTAAGCCGCGCGTCTCGAAGGTATCGAAGGGCTTGAAAGCCGCGCTTTTACGCCGCGTGAAATAATAAAGTCCTTCTCGACTCGCGGGGAGTCTCGTTCTCTCTGTCTTTACGTGTCGAAGTTTTCCCCACCGACCTTCACTCGGAAGGGCATGACTTTGTTATTGTATCAAAAATGCGTCTGCTTCTGAGATAGAACGTGCCAGCTCCACCCCGTCGGTTTTGTCAAACGAATTTGCCGAGAGAGATAGAGATAGAGATAGAGATAGAGAGAGATAGAGATAGAGAGAAAGAGAGAGAGAGAGGGAGAGGGAGAGGGAGAGAGAGAGAGAGAGAGAGAGCGAGGACGGACGAAAGACGACGGAATTGGTCGTTTAGCACCTTAAGCAGACTGCGCAACCCGACGATCATCGATTAGCGCTCCAAGAATGAGGAAGAACGTTCTTGCAGTTGCTTACGCGCCGCCGCCGACGTTGCGCGAATTCATCGCGCGTTACATTTTTCGCGTGTTCCTCCGGCAACGGCTGGCAGCCGGAGGAACACGCGGCCCCGACGAGTCAATTCCTCTCTCGCACAACTACAATCGTCCGCCAAACGGCGGCGAGTTCCTTCGCGGGGGTGGAGCCGGCGAATTATCGGGAGAATTTATCAGCGCAGCTGCGCGAGAAATAGCGGCGCGTGCAACGCGAGCGATCGCGCGCGCTCGGCGAAGTCTCGATTTCGCGAATTCGCCGAATAGTCTCTGCCGCGTCAGGCCGTCTCAGCCCCGAGCGTCTCCGGCGGGCGAGAGGAGCTGTCTGGGAGTCTGGTGCAAGAATTTCGAGCGCGCACTTCTTGACTGCGCCGGAATACCCTCCAGTGAGAAAAGTAAGGGAACCGTCGTTGGGCCAAGGAGCTACTTCGCACGGACTTCCTTCGACGGTCGTCTCGTAAATCGCGATGAGACCGGGATAACTAATAGTCAATTCAAGCGGCGGGACCGGGGAAGGTTCCGTCAGTTGAATTTCCGGGCAGAACCGACGGAGATTTTGGGCCGTTATCTCAAATCATTCTCGCTCACTGCTGACAATCATTCCCTATACGACGCATGACGATCGTTTCTGTACGTACGCGTTGAGACGGTTGTTCTTTTTTCTTTTCTTTTCTTTTCTTTTCTTTTCTTTTCTTTTCTTTACCGTTACACCTTGCACAAAGAAACGCTGCCTTTTGCATTTCAATTCCTCTCTTTCTAGGCAGCCCTCGAGTTAACATGAAATTATCCTTCAGCGCGGCCTTGCGAATTAAATTCCCGCCGAACGTTGCTTTTTATCGGGCTTTTCTCGCGGATCTTTATTACAAGACTCGTGTTAGCCAGGATTGGGTCGGAAATAAAGCGTGCAAGTGCATTTTAAGCTACGTGTTTGCTCACCCTGCAAGACCCGCCGCCTCGCTTCTCCTTCCACCAGCGCGTCTTCAGCATGTGAAGCTTCCCTTCTTCCTGGAGCTTCAGGATGGCCCCGCTTATGGCCGTTCTGTACGGCGAGTCTGAAGTTCCAAGGTCGTTTTGAGGAACTCGCCCCGCTGCTTTTATCGCCTCGTAGCGTCCCCCTTGCCCTCCCCTGGGCCCGCCCCCCGTACTTTCGCGAAACTTTTAGAAGTACCGTTGCGGCAATCGTTCCCTCGCGCCAACATTTCGTCGGCAATTCCGCGCGATCGCTTCCTCCAGTGCGCGCGGGGCGCGCACCTCTATCGATCGGCATTTGCGCGCAGTCGCGAGATCAGCAAGACGACCGGCAGCCGCTTGCGCGATATTCCGTTCGATCTCTCGGGATAAGCGCGCTGGATAAGCCGACTAACATGCCGCGCCGCGCGCAGGAGGGAATTCGCACCGAGGGAACGATACGCGCGTTTCCTTGCCATCGCTTCCCTCGCATTACACGGAAACACGGAGGAAACGTCAATTAGACGGTAAATTTGCTCTCGGGCGTGAAAAAGCGCCGGCGCGACGTCGAATCGACGTATTTCTCCCGCAACATCGAGCGTGCTCTCGTTACGTCCGAATTAGAGAGATCGTTGAGGAGAGAGCGTCGTGCGATCGCGCGAGATTCACCACGTCTCGAGTTACTTTGCTCCTCGACGACGCGACGGCAGGGCTCTGTTCGAGCTGCGGCATCGCACGGAGCTGAAAGTTTCATAAACCGCGACGAGATCTCTCGAAGACTGTCTCTACGAAGAAAGGCAGCGAGTGACTCTTTATGAGATTCTCTCCGTGCTTGCGGCGTTAACACCGATGTGGAACGTTCACACTCGCGCGATTCTGTAAACTCAAGACTGTGTCCCTCTCTCTCTCTCTCTCTCTCCTCTCTCTCTCCTCTCTCTCTCTCTCCTCTCTCTCTCCTCTCTCTCTCTCTCTCTCCTCTCTCTCTTTCGTAGATGGACTTTTTATTCTTCATTCGCGACTTCGCACGCGCAACGCTCTCTCGCGCGTCAAGCGAAAGCGAGAGAATATTCGCGCGCGAGCGAGCAACCTCGGTCCCTCGCGAATTTATTGCGGCTTCTATTCCGCTGCAAGGTATGCACGCTCGCGCCTATAAAGTGTTTCCATCAGGACTTACTTGGCGGCATGGCTATGCCGTATCCCTTAGAGTCCAAGAGGCCGCCGACTTGAGTGAGGTCGCAGTTCCTCTCGATTACGTATTCGATGGAGGTGGATTCCATCAGGAATGCGTAACTGCCTTTCCCCTTGATCACTCGATCCACGCCCTCGACGTTACTCGACGTAAATACCGTCGGCTTCGCCGAATCCATGAAGGACCACATGCGTTGGTACGTCGAGAAATTGGAATCCTAGATCACGTCGGGAATTTCGTGGTTGAGTACGCGTGCCGCTAAACGATGGAACGTCGGTGGAAATCGGTTAACCCCGAAGTAGGCATGCCTTACTTCGGGGCGTAGAGAACGACAGGGGCGGGGAGCGGAGGGGGGAGGCATCGCATCTCGTTTACGTCCCTAATTGCACGCGTCAACGCTCTCGAATTAATAGCGGAATATTCCCGGCCGTGTCCTGCGGTTCCGCCGTTGCTCCGATCGAATTCTTAGCTCGCCGAGAGCCGCGTGTTCGACTTAATTGTGTCGGGCTTTCGGGATAATAATACGCGGCGGGCGGCGGCCGCGCAAGCTCATCCCTCCCTCCCACCCCGACCCCCCGAAAGGGGAAGGCTGCGCGAAATTCTCGGCTCGTCGGGAATTACTACTCGGTCGTTCGATTACTCGGCCGCGATGGAAATTTCTCGCGCGCCTCCGGCCAGTGCGCGAGCCGCGTGTGTTACGCCGCTGCGTTCTTCCGCGCAATAGCCGTTTGTCCATTCCCCCTCCTGCCCCTCCCCCCCCCCTCACCCTTTCCCGCCCCTCGAACATTCGAAATATCGCGCGCGCGATCGGCATCCGCGAGCGCGAATTCTCACCCTGAAGAAAGCCGCGGTGCTGCCGCCTTTCAGAGCGCCGTACTTGATCTTCGTCTGCTTGGCGAGATCCTCGGCGCTCTCGATCGGGGAATCCATCCTCTCGACGGTGAGGAAGGCCGCCAGATTGGCCGTGTACGAGGAGATCATGATCAAGGTGAAGAACCACCACATACCCGCGACCATGCGCGTCGACACGGCCCTGCGACAAGCGTTCAAAGGCTCTGCAGACCGGTTTTCTATGAGCGCTACGTGCGCGTTGGTTAGGCTAAAATCCGCCTGAATTTCAAAGTGCACGCGCGCGAATTAACGTATTCGAGTGACCGTTTCGTTTGCAAAAGCGTGCTCGCGAGGTGGGTTCAACTTGTCGAAAAGCGAATGCGCAAAGCGGTGGAGAAAGAAATCAATGGCACCTGCCACGCGCGCATGTCACCGGAAGTTTTCGCGAGTAAGTTCGTCGTTTCCTTCGTGGGGTAATGGAGCGTGCGCAAGTTCGACTTCGTTTTATACGTTATAACGAGCGGATGTAACCGGTCTCGCAGTTAAATGATTCGCGCACGCTATTAAACGCGCAAATATACGCGAGTATTGCAGGGCGGGACGGACGGACGGACGGACGTGCGTGCGCGTACACGCAGCCGCGTACATATGTGCGTGTGTGCGAGGGAATTATTTTACACGCGGCAATTGCTGCGTACACACATAAACACGATTATATCGTGTTTAACGTGGGATTATTGGAAACTACTTGCATTCCAAGCTGCTGGCGCATGCTGCGCGCGATCTCGTGCATTTCGGTAACGAGAAACGAGAGTGATAAGGCGCACAGGCGAGAAGCACTCGGATGGATTTTTCCGTCTTTAGATACGGCGGCACACAGGAAGCACGAATACACATACACGCGTCCACAGCGCGCCGGAAACCGGAAGCGAGTATTTCTTCTCAAGCGATGTATTCTTCAACGACTCTTTGTTTTTTTTCTTTTCTCCGGGGGCGCCCGACATCTCTGTCGGCCGAATATTTACGCGCTGGGAGCAGATCCAGCGATTTCGTCCCGTACGTGAAATATCCGCCGTTTATTCCCTACCAAATTAATTCCCTACTAAAGGGAAGAGAGTGCGTCTCGAATGAATTAGAAAGTAAAGTTTTGTGTTACTTCGTTATTGTTATGTGTATATATATATATATATATATATACGCCGCGCTGTGCGGCTTAATTCACCATAACCCTTTAATTATACAGCTCCCTAATTAAGCCATCGATTAGATTTTCATTAGGGAGGACTCGACACCGGGACCCGTTAAAGAATACATTTTTACTATCCTCGCGATTTTCCGGCGCGACCCCAGCGAAGTGTAGAATCGGCTTGCAGCAAGTCTACGATATAGCACAGCCAGTTGTCGTTAGGTCGTTAGAGTCGTTTTCTTTTCCTTTCATTCCTTTCATTTTTCTTTTCTCTTGTCTCTCTCTCTCTCTCTCTCTCTCTCTCTCTCTCTCTCTCCCTCTCCCTCTCCCTCTCTCTCTACATCCGTTCGCGTAATTTAAATTCAAGAGCGCGCTGCTCCGTTTGTCGTCGCGCGATTCTTTAAACTATTGTCACCTCGCATCGACGTCGTCCGTAGGCACGCCGACGGCGACAATCGATTCTACGTCGTGCGCACCGTGCGCACGTTGTCACCACACACGTGTAGGCGCGCGTTGCTTCCTCCGGTATATATAACTTACTTCGGCGCTATATCGGAGCCTTGCTGCATGAGCGAGCCTATGGTGAACCAGAGCGAGTTCAGCAGGGTGAACTCGTTCTCGAGGACTTCGGACTGCCCGTTGCACGGATGGGGGTTCTCCCACTCGTAGGGGCTGAACCTGCGGACACGTGAAAGGGGGAAGGACCGAGATTAGATTTCAGTGCGTGCATCTAGTCGCGAGTAGCCTGACAGAGTCCGAGACAGACCCTGAAACGGCGCGAGACTGCGAGTCTCGCGATCGAGCGAGCTGTGATCGGCCGCGCCGATCATCATCCGTCGATGATGAGATCGATACGCGCAAATAATATGCGAAACAATGACACGTGAATCGACGTTCCGAGATCGGCGCGCAGATTGATATCCGTGGCCGAGCGAAGTACCGCAAGGATGCTAATCTCGCTAATCGAATCGGTACGTGCGAGCGTTGCTGCGTGGTACGATAACATTGTTTACTCGCGATTAAAATACAGATGGGACAGTTGTTCGAGGTAACTTTATTACCGTCCGAATTGTGGAGATGTTGATTTGCGTTCACGGCGAAGTTAGCGTCTCGTGATTCCAATTCACATCGCTCGACCGTGGATGAAACTCGTCGTCAGTTGGTATCAGCTAATCAGTACAAGACAATTATTCATCGAGTGACGTTTATCTTTTCGAGCAGTTTCCAACGAGTGTCGAGAAGTCGAGAAAGTCGCTCGATCGAGCGTCTCGTAGGGATCTCTATCAGGCTCTGTGCTTTCAATCGGTCGATTACTATCGTCATCATCCATGCAATGAAAACAGCAACGTGTTAATTTTGCCAAAAGATAATGTTGAGGGAGGCGGTGGATTCTTTTTTCTTTTTCTCGAAATTCACTGTGCAATATGCGACGAATGCGACGAGCACGTGTGTTGCGCACAAAGGCTATCTCAATGCGTGAGAGAGAGCTTACTTGGGCAGAATGTCACAACCCTGCCGCATTAGGGAGCCAATGGTGAACCACAAGCAGTTAAGGAGCTTGAAGCGATTCTCCAGGCGGTCCGGATTTTTGTTGCACGGGTGTGGGTTGTACCATTCGTACGGTGTGAATCTAAACTCAACGATTCCACTCGCATTCTGATTCAACGCTTGTCCCAAAGAAATCGTCTCGTTATTAGGAGGGGAGAGATTTTCACCGAAATTTTGCGTCGTCGGTTTCGCTCGACGGCTTAACGCCGTTCGTTTTACAACGGATAGGTATATATATATTTCCTTCTCGTTGTATACCGTATACTTGATTGAAAGGAATTCTTGTGTGATTCTCGACAACGTAACTTTGATCAAATATTCAATGCAATCAAACAATTAACGCAAGACGGACAGGAAGATTTGTGTTACACCGATCGCCAAGGGAATCGGAGAGGGGAGGAGACGTTCTCACTATAATGTGACGATAGTCTAATTGGATCTTCTCGTCCCAGAAGTTAGGAAACGATATCGCCCTCCTACAAACGCTGAACGCATTTGCTCAAATAAATAGATGCAAAATACCCGCGGGAATGGGATGGGTTCGCGTATTTCCTCCGTATTTAATTCGCCGATGGAGCGCGCTGAAGGAGGCGGCGACGCGATCGCGCGTCGCTTAAATGGGCGATCGAATTTCCGGGATAGCGTCGCGTCACTTTTGTCGGAAGAATTTTAAGTGATTTCACTTGCCTGGCTAGTATAAAGAGGAGCACGGAGACCCCGAGATAAGCCGTCGCCATGTAGATCCATACGTCGAGGCTGAGGGGGCTGAGGAACGAGAACAAATTCGGTGGTTGCTTTATGGGCTTGCGGTAAAGTATGCTGATCCCTGGAAATTCAAAATTCTCGTTTTATGCTCAGCCACGGCGCCGGCCACGTAGAATGCATTGATGTGTGGACACAGAGGGCCGGTATAATTACTCGCGAGATTTATTCCGGTCTTCGTTACGGCCACCTATGGCTTTACGGACGTGTATAATAGCCCGCTAAACCGCGCCCCAGAAATTGTTTCAGAGACACGCGGCATGCGGCGGGAGATAGCCGACATTTGATTTATTGTTATTTTAACGACGAGCATATAATACGTGTCATTTACAGCGGCATTAATTCCTCGCAGCGACCGCTCACGCTATTGCCCGCGCCCCGTTGTTTCTCCAACCGAACGAAGAATAACGTAATTTTTATATCGCGATAATATATATATATATATATATATATATTCGCGTGAAATGTTTGCTCAGCCGCATTTCCTCTTCCGCTCTCTGCGCTAATACCGCGCGAGATTAAGAGACTTATAGAGTACGCAGTCGTGAAAAGGAGGCGATAAAACAGTCCCCGGCGAAGAAGAGCCATCCGCTCGGTGGGGGGGATAGCTTAATTCCTTATTTTTATACAATTCTCTCCTTCGCAACGTGCTTATGAAAATGGCATCGCCGTGGCTTACCTAAAGGCATAAACGGCATCGTGAAGTCGACTGCCTGTTCCCGGTCGTACGTGATGGTGAGATCAGCGATCGCGAGATCGGCCTTCTGATCGAGCAGCTCCTTCATCATCCCGTCCCATTCCTTCGTCTGCTTGTTGTACGAGCCGTAACGTCCGTCCGGCACAAGCCGGAACGTATAATTGAATCCAAGCAGCCGCGATATCTCGTAAATCAAGTCGACGCTGTAGCCTTCGAATTGCGCGTTTCCGGTGAGCTTCTCGCTCGAGTCCTTCCGCATGCAGTACGGCGCGCTCTGCCGAGGTAATGATCCACCGTCAATAGCGCCGCAAAATACGTCGGGAGGGACGCGCGTGTCTACCTATACTATATATGAGCGGCGCCGGGCTGCTCGTTCGGGCTCATCGACGATAGCTCGCGATAGCATCGGCTCCCGCCCGTGCGAGTGAAGTTATGATATCTGCGGAAGTAATCTTGACGGCTCTCATATGAGCATCGAGATCGGAGACGTCTTAGTATATTGAACGGGGTGAGCGAGAGGGGGAGGGGGGACTGCGCTTTTCAGTACTGTCTTTTTGTAGTCGAGCAGGACTCTCCCTCTTACAAGGATACACGCTGAATCGGACGATGGTCGCACAATGGCCCCCCTGCAATGTCGCACTTTTTTCTCCTGAAGTCCTCGACGCGCCTATCCTCCTAAAGCGCTGCGACGCGCGAATCTGCTCGATCTCCCAATTCGGGGGAATAGCCGTGGGATTAAGAGTCAGTTGAGCGAATATCAGGATTGTACAAGGCGTGTAATTGGAGATTAGAAAGATAAGAGGGCGAATATTTATGTTTGGACGGTCGTCGCGCGCGATACGCTCTTCGTAGCAGTGTGGAAGATTGACGTGTTAGTAAAATTGTATCGACTTCATCGGAATCGGAAAATGTTCCACCAACGTCGGATAGAAGTTTTATGAGGGCCCCTAGTGGTACGTAAATATCTACGGTATATTATACAATATATATATATATATTTCTCTCCCGATGACAAGTTTATCTTAGCTTTGTTCGGCGGCGCAGTGATCGAAGGGACATCAGGCCGCCGAAGTTTTTACGAGAACGACGTGCATCGCTTCTTATTACGCGGCCTCGCCGCGCGGAACTCGCCGCTCGCTCCTTTCTCGGTCGAGTTTTCAAGCAGTTAATACATTACCGAGTACATTACTTGTCGCCGCAATTAGCGCCGGAGTAAGTAATGTGAGTCGAGCACGCTGTGAAAACTTCAATTAAGTCGCGCGTATTCGGCTTTTCCAGCTCTCTCGTCTTCTTCCCTCTTTGCGCCCCCTCTAAAAGGAGCGGAAAGCTAACGAGCGCGCAGGCTTCGCTAATGGACGAAAAGAAATTTTCCGTCCTGCTGCGACGGCCGCCTAATGCGCGGCGTTGTTTCTGTTTTGTTCGCGCTTCGATTAAAGCGACGATTTTCGAGCTCACCGCGGCTGTCAGGCGCGATTTTCAGGCCGAACCGACGCCAACCGAGCGCCAACACGGCGTCTTCGATACGCGAGTAAACGATTTTTCCGCGCTTTGAAGCGCAGTGAGACGTCGAGGCGACTTGTTCAAGTTGCATGCCAAGCTGCGCCATTCTTTTTCTTCCGAATAGTTTCTTCAAACTTTGCGCGCACCTTTGCGAAATTATTTTACTACATCCTAGCGCTGTCTCTTAGACAGCGATAAGGCGTCTATAGCGACGCATTTCTCGACTAACTCAATCTATAAAATTACGCCAATATAGTTTTCTACTCTCTCAAGACAAAGAAGAATCTGAAAGAGGTATCGTTGATATCCGTGTAAAAACTGTATAAAACTTATTTATCTGTTAAATGTCGTGTGCCGCGTATAAGAACGCTCTTATACGATCTTTCGTGATATTTCGGAGATCGCGGATTTAAACACTTCTGCTTGCAGATGAAAGTTCGATTTGATATATTCCGATTGTTTCTACATCTGCGCGCGCGCGCGCGCGCGGCTGGGCGGAATTTCTTCGTAAATCAAACGTCACATGGAGAGAAAAGAGGACATTCTTGAAGATGTCACTCACCAGTATGGTCGTGACGATGAAAGTCTTATTCTGCAAGTTCTCAACTATTTGAGTGTAAACGTCCCCGTAGCTCCTCGTGAAGTTGATACCCTTGGTGCTATTCCAGGTGCCTATTTTCTTCAAGCCTTCTTTGCTATTCAGCTCGATGATGTCCAGCATAAAGTCGGAACGAAAGCCCTGGTGATCGAACTTGATAATACCCGTGAGTCCCGTCATCTCCACCTGAAATGTACGCGTTAAGGAAATATTTAATCATTAAAAATAGCAACTATTGATGTTATAAGCTCTCTATGTTAAATATTAATATTCTAACATTCAATTAATAATCTAACATTCAATTGTACTGATGAAGGATTTATACATTGGATCTTTTTATTATTGCGACTGTTAGTTACAGATGTAAAGTTCCTCCGGTTATATAAACAGTAATTACTGTTTATTGTTAGCTTCCTCAAATTGCAATTAAGCATTATATATATTTGGCATTATATGTATGTGGCATTATCGGTATATACTGCCTTTTGAAGTGCGCCTTTTGAATATTAAAATTTTCGGATTACATTATTGATTTATACGCTTTATATAAATACTGAAGTATCTAGTTCGTGAAGCACCTAACATACGATTAATACAACATAGGCTAACGATTATTAATATATAACCGTCATTAATTAATAGTAACATATTAGGTTTCGTATGCAGCGTAGTAGCAGTAAGGCGAGTGTACAGTTTTACTTGATGCTCGATTCCGCGATATCGAGATACGCTTTGTTACTCAAATTCGAATCGATAGATAAATCGCTTAATGCAAATTTTGCCGGCACGCGATACGCCGTGTGTCGTCTACTGTCAGATACACAGCTGGCGATTTCTCGAACGGGAGAAGTTTTCGAATCAGCAGCGCAGGGAAAATTTATCACATGTACGCAAAGAGTTCGTCTAAACGTTCGCGCGGCGGCCGCAAAGCCGGTAAAACGAACGTTACTGCTCAGAACTGGCGGAAGGTGCATTTGTGGCGCGCGCGACAACGCGCGTTTTGTGGACGGAAATTTCGTAAAATGACTCGCGAGTAATTACGCTCGGCATGATAACCGATCTCCATCTCTCCCCCTTCTCTCCTCTCTCTCTCTCTCTCTCTCTTTTTACGTCTGTCTTCTTCTGTCGCCGTGCTTCTCGCGAGTCACGCTCCACATTCGCGAAACGGCTCTGTGTAATTGCAGATTAAATTCCTAGTGACTGCCTGTAATTACCGGTTCATGAATATCGCGAAATTAAACCCGCTGCTGACACGCGAGATTAACGACGACTCATGATGTCCTCGCGGAAAGAACACACACACACACACACACACACACTCGTCCCGCTTGATGATTATCGCGCCATTCGAGATACGTTAATGCACCGCAGCAATCTCGCACAAATGGATCATGAGTAAGGGAGGATCTATTTAAAAAGCCGTCAGCGTACGCGCGCCGATGCAACGCACGTTGGCGAGCTCCTCTCGCCGCGGAAACTACGTTTGACAAATTAGCGGGTGGAATTGAAGAATCGCGCGCAGTCGTACCGAATTTCAGACACGTCTCGCCAGTCGCCGTGCTCATCGTCGCGCGTAATTACTCTATATATTTCTACGAGCCGATAAGGGAGCACGTCTCTGTTACAACGGCGGGCTTATTCGATCAAACGGAAACGATATTAACGCCGTGAAATTATTCGCAAGGACTCGCAAATTGGGCGCGGGGAGCTGTTCTAGCGCGTATTTCCCAGCGGTGCTCTCTCGCGTCTTACGTCGTAATCCACGAAGGCCGTCCGCGTCCATTCGCATTAAGGATCTTTGCTCTTTAGAGGTTCCGGATACGTCGTAACGTTTCTCAAACAAGATTCCACCCCCGAGGAAGAGCGACGCTAAGTCGCGGGAGACTTCTCCGAAGCGACTCGACAGCGAGATTTTCACGGTTCTCGGAGGAGGACGTTTCTCTCTGAAGATCGGAGGGGGGGGGGCAGAAGGAGATAGCGCCGCGCGATACTTTGCAATTTGGAACAATCGCGCACGTCACGAAATCTCACACGTCACGCTATCGCACGCGCCGCGCCACGTAACGAGATCCTCGAAATAACACAGACGCGCGTGTCTGCTTCCATCGGCGCTTTTTGCTGATCCTCGCTGGGATGGTCGACCGCGCGCCGCGCGCTCTGAACGACAGGTTCCGCTCGCTATGTGAGAGCCGCCTCCGCGCGGGCGGAACCTATCTTCCGGTGCTTGTCAATCCCGACACGGCGACGCGGCGCGGATGACGAGACACGTTTCCATATCCTGCGTGTAACGCATATTTATATTCGCGCGCACCTCCTATCGCGCTGATGCGGTGCTCAGCTCTGCGACGCGTTATCCTTCAATCCGGCTCTCATATCCTTCGATATCGTCTCGGCGTTAAACAGTCGCAATCGTGTAGCGTAGTCGTCGCGAACAAACAGATCATATCGGAATTATACGTCAAGTACAATCGACACATCGCTCTTTGAAGTTCTGTGAGGAAAGTTTTTCGCTCGAAAAATAAGATAATGGCAGGTTTTCAGCGAGAATCACTCACGGCAAGACGTAGCTTGAACAGCGCTTGTCCGCGCGCGATTTTCCAAGCGACAAGCGCAAAATTATTATCTTTCTCGTTGATCGCTCATAATTACTGTTGTCCGAATACGACACGTCGAAATCGCTTACATCGAAATCGAGAGGCGCTAGCGACGCGATGCGGATGCACAAAGATGCACTTTCGCCTCGAGCGAAAACTTCTTCATCGCGCGCGTAAGACTTCGCTATCACCTGTGCGGATTCGGCGACTCTTACACGAGGATACGTTGCGGACACACGTTGCGGCCTACGAACGTATAGCTTTGCGTCAGGATGTAACGGAGTAGAACCGCGAACGACAATTTGTCAGCGCGCGCGACAGCTTCGTTTAAACTGGGGTAACTTTCTATTGTTTCGCGAGAACAATCGCGCGAATCGCGGAGAGTCATTGCGTCCGGACTTCGCATGATTTCCTGCACCGCGTACCACCCTATCGTCGTCTATTTATCAATTTCTTCCCCCCTTTATCTTTCTGTACTTTCCCACGCACGTCGCGTTCGTCTTGCTCTTCTTATGAAAAGTCGCGCATTCAAAGAACACAGAAATCGCGTTGATGTTAAATCAGTGCGATTTATTGCTTCGATTGTTTATTCGATTGCTGGTGCGAATAGACGAATCGCATGGAAATAGTGTTTAACATTCGCTTATTACATTGTCGCTGCATTAGCGATATCGATCAATTTAATGTATTTCATATTAATTTCTCCATTGAGGCAAATTTTACATTTACGTCTACCGTCCGTAAAACATGTTCCTTAATCCCCAATTTCCAGATTCTTCTAAAGTTTGGCAAAACACAGTAAATTAATATCCAGAAAGATTAAAATCAGATAAGAAAGCATGATATTCTTTTCTTAATTACACTTTATATTTATTAAAAATAAAAAACTGACATTTCGAGATATTCTCCAATCAATCGAAGATTGTCTATCTTCTATGTATAATAGATTAATTTCGACTTCGATCGAAGAACGTTCGATATTAACGATCGGGAGAATTCACAGTCGCGAATGAACCCTTGCGTTACGCGAGGACGACTTTACGTCTGTCAGAAGCGCGCGGTAGCTTCTGCTGACCGCTGTCAGCTGTCTTCGGCTGTCCAACGGTCTGTGTTCCAAGTTGCTACGATGCCTAGAAACAGAATTATCGATAAAAGTATCGAGCCGCGCACTGAATCTCCTCCGCGCTATCGCGGAGACGACGCGACCTACCTACCGCAACGTATGGGACAGTAGCCCATCGAATTCCGCGGACACATTCTCCGCCGCTACCGCAAAAAAAGCCCGTCTAAGCGGCGGTAACCTGTTACGCCGGCAAAAAGAAGCATCGTCTTCGACTTAATCGATTATCAAAAAAATCGTCTTTGCATAATCGATATTTTCTTAAAAATATCGATATTTTCTGCTAATTTATTTTAAATTAATGTAAAGAGTTATATGTCGCGATAATAAATTAATATATTATTAAAACCTTAAAGACCCTTTTACAATGGCTGCAAGCATAAGCTTATATAAGAATAAGGCTATAAGCGTAAGCTACAAGAAATAAACCAATTAAAGTCGGTTGTTCTTCTAATAGTCGACCATTGTTAGTTTATTTTTTACCGTTTACTGTTACAGCTTTATTTTCGCAGCTATTGTAGACGGACCTTAATAGTAGTAAACAAATTCCCTGGCGATGAAAATTTAGTAACAAATCTAGTAGTATAATCGTCGAAAAAAATTATCGATCTAGGGAATAATCGACCATCAAAAATATCGGTCTGACAATCGATTTTTCAAGGAGATAAGAATCGATGCTTGTTTCATCGACCGATATTTGCCCATTACTACCGGCGAGGAGGTCTTATCCCCACTAGCGCACACATGACGGCCGCTCGAGCACGTGCTCGCCCGAGCGACCATGTGGTCTCGTGACGTAATAGTCAAACAAATATCGGCCGAGAACGCTCGTCAAATTGATCGTCGATCTCGCTGACACGTGCGCGCGGCGATCGCCGGCGCGGCTTTGAGGGGACCTGTAACTCGCGAACGAATCGACGTAGACGCGTGAAACAAAAAGCAATTGGTTGGGCGCACGATTCCCCGCCCGCACACGTCCATGTTGCTCTTTCAGCGGCGGGGATGACGTGTCTTTTATCGCTCGTGAAAATTCTACGTTGATTCTTTCCTTTATGTTGTTGCAACGACGTGGGATAATGTTATTATAGATTGAAACGGAAGGAAGAATAACGTGTAAAATGCATCTTTCGCGTGAACGTTTGAAATTAATTATCGTTGTTTCAGCGACCGCCAATGAATGCTTTTTAATATCGCAGTGTTCTCGACAAACATGATGATATATTGATTCATTGAGCCATCAAATGCTAATGAAATCTTTACATAATCCATAAACACACGGTAAATTTAAATATGGTGAATGTGGTAACATATTATTAATTGAATATATACTAACATATTATTAATTGAGAGAGAGATATATATATATATATATATATTCAATTAATAATCATTACAGCTTTTGTAATCAATATCCAATGTCGACTATCCCGGATACGTTAGAATTATATCCTACATTAATCGTATCTCGCGAATAAAACTAAAAAGTAAAAAAAAAAAAAAATAAAAGATACGCAAAGGAGAGAAGAAACGAAATATTTATCATTTCACACGTTGCAGAAAAATGGATATAGTTAACGTCTGTGCATAGAATGCATACAGCGGGACTTGTGGCGCTTGTTAATGAAGGGTGGCGCGGTTTGTGTGGGAGGGCAAGCGAATGAGAGAGCGCGGGCAGGATTAAGCATATCGTTATAATAGCTTATTACGTTGTCGGTGCGATCGATCAGCGGCCCATAATTCTGCGAAATTAATTTCTACCTAGCGCGATACATTCGCGATAGCGGGCTTCGTTGCTACGTTCGTCGAGAATACGTACGCGGTGATCAGCGAGCGGAAGACGCCTGCCAATAATACACAAACATCGTCTCTAACGTTATATCGCGGAACGGCGCGCGCGCGCATACGCGTACGTGTATTTCGGCTGGGTAAAGATACTTTCGACAGCTTAACGGCACCGCGTGATCGGCGAAATTCGCCGATTCGACGTTATTGCCTATCTCTAAATCCATCTGTTAACTAGGCATGATAAGGCTGTCCGTGTCCGTATCGCTTGCATTACTGCTGCATTTAGTGCTACATGTGGTCGGTCGATTTTGCGCATGATTTATCTCATATCGGGAATCGCGTGCTGTAACATTAGCGCGAAATGATAATTAGATCGCACGTATTATCTCCGCTAATGCGCTGAAAATATAGAGTTTCAGCGGAAGCGTAGGATTTTTCGACGAGCGTGAGGGAGAGAAAGAGAAAGAGAGCTGCTGCGTATATCTGTGCGAAAAGTGGAGAGTAGAGATTGAAAAAAGCGGAAAATACCAGGGAAATAAAAGAGATTTTTACAGATGTTGTTTCACCGAATGCTTTGATACTTGCTTATTAACGAGGCTTCGCGAGCTTCTTTATTCCTGTCGCGTCTCATGATTTTGCATTTACCGCTGTGTCTTTCATGCAGCGCCGTTGTGTGTTTAAGAAGGACGACTTTCTTTCGTCGAGATTAATCTGCATTTTCATGACTCGTGCTTTATTTTTTAATTGACGTCTCTCACGGATCACCTTAGTACGTGCTTATTATTATTTTATTCGCTGTAATAAATCACTCGGGATCGCTGCAAGATGAAAGTGAACGTGCCACTTCACATTTCAATACGCGTACGATATCCTCCCACTTCGAACTATAGAATCTCGTTGATTATTCTAATTAATGATATTAATTAATGATACTTACGATCTTCATATAGTTAATGAGCGAATATCCATGAGGCCAGGTGTCGGTAGATTCGCAGGATAACGGCTTGATATCGATTTGCTGGGACGTGTCCAGATCGTGGAGCGCCTTGGCGAAGAGATAGACGGCGTCGTATAGCAGGGACGTTTCAGTCTGCGAATCGTACACACGACAAAGTGTCATCGACGTGTGAAACGTATCAGCGTATCAGCGGGATATTTTAAACGGCGTAAAAAAAAGATGGTGGATCGTGGCAAAAGAGCGCTCATCCAGAAAGAAAGTATTTTATGCAATATGATCCGAGCCATTTTATCCTTAACACGTTTTTCCGTTATCGATATTTCCTGAGACACGCTACCACGTCACTGTATATAAAAGTGCTCTATACACAACGCGCGTGTGTGTAGATGTATACCGGATATCCTACGAAGATGATAATAAGGCGGGATCCCGTATTGGATTTCGATACGGCTCCTCTGCCGCGATAATTGGACGACATTCCTCTTCGCAGCTTTTAAAGTTTTGATGTGGGGATTTTAGACTGCCGCATTGAAATTCATTGCACCCTAAATCGAGTTCACCTCGTATAGGGTCGAGGTCCTTTGAATAAAATGAGGGTTCTGTGGTAGTGGTGGTGAAAATTAATTTCTTTCTTAATCTTATTAGATTCTCGTGCTTTACACAATTCCGTTCGTATTCGTTGTGGTGAATTCAATAATTGAGGAAAAAAGAAACCTTTGTACCGCAGCTGTAAATTTAGCAGCGAGTAAGAGTTTTAGAGCACCTAGTACGTAAGAAAGAAAAACCGGGCTGCTCGATCTCGAGAGGAAATCTTCGATGTCGTCGATTCACAAAGTGATCTCGCGGGCGGAATCGCAATCCCGCGTTTGCGGTACCGAAATTATCAACGCGACAAAGAGCACGAAGGTGAAATCCGAGTCTGCCATTTCGCGCGAGGAATCATATTCGGCGGCGCGGGCTCGAATTTCCGCTCCTCCGATGTTCAAGAAGCGAAAGAACGAAATCTCAGCTCCTGCGAGGATTTCACGGCAAATTGGCGCCTCTGTTTCGCGACATTTATATTTCCTACTCTCTCTCGCGCGCGCGGCTGTGCGATATTCCCTCTCCCTTCGCCTGCGCAACGATATTGTCGCTGTAAAAGCGGTATCACCTTATATATCGCATCGTGGGTGTGTATATTCCTCCCGATATATATTCGGAGACAAGCAATATCCTTACCGAATTTTACGAGGCCTCATCCAGGAATGTCTTTACGGAGGAACGAGTCAATGTATCCGATTCACGTGTTTCCCGATACGAAGGGACGCGGTGTGATACCCTTATGTAGAGGCCGACCGAAAGTTTCGGACAAATAGAAGTTTCGAGAGAGAGAGAGAGAGAGAGAGAGAGAGAGAGAGAGAGAGAAGGAGAGAGGTAGGAAGGGAGAGAAAGGGAGAGAAAGGAAAACGGCGTTTTCTTCCCCTAACTTTATTCATTACCGGCGCCGCATTACGGCGACGAGTAATAAGAAGGAAACGCCGAGTGGTTACGTGAAAATTACTCTTCGAAGGGCGAGACACATCTCGAATATGTATTACCGACGTCGACAGACGTCTTTTACGCCGCCAGTTTACTTTCGTGTTCAAAGACAATACGGTTACACTAAAGTTCGCAGTTTCGCGTTCATAATAGTACGTTCCGTCGGTGAAGTTTGTAGCTCCTTCGTTTTATATCGAAAGTCTGCACGGCGTTTACAGAATTCCCCATCGCTTCGCCCTGGTTCTCTCTCTCTCTCTCTCTCTCTCTCTCTCTCGTTTTGTTATCAAGTTTCTGCATGACGATCGTGAGACATCTATCGTGCGAAATTCATCGAAATTTATTCGAGATTCCTTACTGTTGAGCGCGTTGGTTTCGGCGATTGCAGCGCGAAGGAATTTCAAATGTCCGGAAATGGTCGATGTCGAAACTATCGGCATTCTTCTCAGTCTTAGTGTCCGCCATCCGAAATCCGTGCTACTTGTACGCTGCTCCGCAGCGCAATATATTACGTGTACGGGCGATGTAGCACGATGCAATAATCGTGCAGTTTCGCGCGAGTGTAGCCCACGATAGTTATGGCGCGGCGGCGGTCGGTTGACATTCCTGATTGAGCGCTCGCGCGTCTCGCCGATAACTCACTCGTAATGAAACAGTGAGACGTGAGCCGGCCCCACGGCCCATTGACTCGGCCAATAATGAATTACAAGAGTAAAAACGATTCGCGAGCGTGTTTTTTACTTGCGCTCCACCGACCGGCGAGTAAGTCGACCGGCGTAACGGATTAGTTCCTGTCGCGGTGAAATTCGCGCGGGCGCGATCGTTCATCGCGCGTCGCCCAGAAATTGGGGGATATATGGGCGCGTTATATCACATTCTATCGGAACGACCGACCCGGCGAATAATCTATTCGTCCATTTACGACGATGGGGCTTTTGACTTACCTTTATGGTGGTGAGATTGTTCTGTTCCGCGTGTGAGCGTGGAAAAATGAAAGGCATACAATTTGAATATATTTCTTGACGCTATATATCGTAATAAAGCAGCGATATATCGTTTCACCCGGTATATTATTCACACCGAGCCACACTGGCGCTAAGCTATTGCAAATCTTCAAAATTGAACTTTGCGAGCATATATTATTATGCTTCATTAATGAGCGCTCTGGAAATGTCCAAGTATGTATATAACGCTCGGTGTAATATAAAACATTAAATCCAACAGCGAAGTTACCGAAAAGTTAGACGCGCGGCCGACGTTGGGAAGGAAGGTGGTCTTTTAATCGCTTACAGAAAGTTGAAAACTCGAGTGTACCTGCCGGTTGATGGCGCGAGCGGGCAACCTACGGCCCCGCGTAATCCCATCGATTTAAGCGTCTTACGCAAGCGCTTACTAATGAATGCCGTCGCGAAATAACATGGAACTTACGCACGAAGCCTCGAATAACGAGCTTACGCTCGCTGGCGATTCTAACGACCCCGCGCCGCTGCGTATTCTATCAATAATCGAATCAATATATTGTCCGTTTGTTCGTCGTCGTATGTGTACGCGATTGAGTTAATTAGTCTGGCTTTGACGCGCTCGTAATGGGATTGCCAACATCCCCCCCCCCCTCCCCGCCCCCGGCTGGCAGACCCGTTACGGAATTTGAACAAACGCGATTGTTCGTTATACGGCGACATTGCGTAACGCAATTTAACGTCGTCGTTAAATTCCGAGCGTCACGACGCGACGCGACGCGACGCTACGCTCCAGCGCCGGCGGAATGATGGATGGCGTCGTATTGAAACTCGACTGCCTCGGTAATGTCAGTTATGCTTCGATTATACGTTTAGGTATCGCGCGCGTATTAATTGACTCGCTAAGAGACGAGGGAACACGAGGGTCGTTACGAAATCGTCGTCAAGGATTGAATCGAGAAATTTTGTTCGAAGAGGACTGCCCGACATCGAAGTGACATGAGTCGCGACAAGTGTTTACACCGTTTGCGTGAAAACCCTCCGTAGAAAATGCATCACATCGTGATTACAAAATCGCCCTCCTTCGATCAGTCGTAGAAAAAAGAAGCTTTGTTATTAACGTATCCTTTGATCACGCTTCGACAACGACGAGACATCGAGGTATCATTGAGTAGAAAAGACACTCGGTGTCGGGAGGAGGGGGGAAGGGGATGTAGCGAAATTGCGATAGGCTTTCTTAAGGCATCGAATACACGAGATTTCCTTGGCCTTGTGATTTTATATACACACACATATATATATATGTATATATGCCGTGGGATTTCAACGGAGGAGTCCACAGACTCCTCCGGCTACTATTGTGCCGCCTGGATAATCTACCTCCGGCGGTAACCAGCCAGCCTCGTGGCGGTTCGAGGGGTGGAAACGCCTGGAATTTGCCCTCTCGCTGATAAATTTCCCATGAATACGGCGCCTATCTGGGGGTGGTACGGCTTTCCATCGATTGCGCGGTCTTAAAGGGATTCGTTCCTGTAAGGACGCGCTTCTTCTCACAGGAAACGATCTCGTCCCCACAGACGGAGGGAACGAAATCGCCGCCTTATTCGTTGCGGCTCGCGCTACACACTTGGGTTATTACTGAATACGACCCGCTCGCCTCTAACCCTCATAACGTTCGCGGCCGGTCGAGCTTGTATACCTGCGTGAAAATCGATGATGAAAACTTATCGAAAATGTGGAAACTAACGTTGCACTGTTCTCCGGTCTTTTTTTTTTTCTTGTTTTTTCTTCTCTTTTCTTCTCGAGTGACTGAGCGCGAGTGAGGCGAAAATTTGATCGGTGAAATTTCCCGTGAAGCGTCCCCACTCTTCCTCGCTTGTAGACGTCAAACGCGCAATTTAGCGGATCTCTCGAAATTGTCGCTCGAGAAGTTCGATTATCCAGAGCCGCGCTTACGTCCGTAGCGCGACTTTCACGCTTTTAATTTTCGCAGTAGCGGTAAGTCTAATAGTCAGCGGCTCGTAAAACCGAGACATTGGTGCCTGATGAAACTGGCGAGTTGAGAAAGTTTTTATTACGAGTTTCTCCGCGCGTGCCGCGAATCGATAGCGCGACGCGACTTCGGCGCCATCCGTTTCGCAACTTCCAATTGACAATTTTATAGGTTTTATTTTACAGGATTTTACACGCACACAAGCGCGCGCGCTTCGCGAACACGCTCGGAGAAAGCCACAGTCGGTCGGGGGTGTTTCTTTGCGCGCCGCCGTTCTCGTTGTTCTCCTTTCGTCGAAGCGAGTAAGTGAAGACGCTCTATCTGCCGCGGCGCGATGATGTATCTTCCGTGAACCGTCGCTTGTCTCCGTGCCAGCGGAAAAAGGGAAAACTACCGCGTAAATTCTGTCCGCCCGCAACGCGTGCAGCGGAAAATGAAGTACTCGCAAGTACATTCCCCCCTCCTCTTTTTCCCTTCCCCCATTCTCCCGCTCCTCTCTTTGCGCTCGCTCGATGAAAAACATGCTTATGTGTAATCGTTTCGCTTGTGACTCCCCCACGCGGTTAAACGACGAGACACGCGTCGTATGACCGGATGCTGTCTCGCGAACTTTCTTCCCTTGAAATAATTGTCCGCGAGATACATTATCTCATTTCTTATTATCTCACAATTGCAGACTCTCTGAGCAATTTACCAGTCTCGGTCTTCCCGCGCGCGGCGCGATATGTTGAATTTTGAAAGTTTTGCGCGCAGAAAGAATTAACGTCTTCGTGGAAGTTAAACTGTGTCATTCCGGCTGGCATTTAATTTCCTTTCCCGCTGCACTTTCTTCACGAAGTCACATATTGCAATCACGACGCTGAAATATACCGTGATTCATTCCCCTTTACCGTCCGCCTTCGTGTAAACCGACCGCTTGCGTGCGATGGCACCGTTGTCGCTGTCGCGAGAGCACAAATTCAAGATGGGTCGACGGAATTGGCACGATTAATAATATTTCGTATTTATGGCTCTATCCCTCTCTCTCTCTGTCTCTCTGTCTCTCTGTCTCTCTGTCTCTCTGTCTCTCTGTCTCTCTGTCTCTCTGTCTCTCTCTCTCTCTCTCTCTCTCTCTCTCTCTCTCTCTCTCTCTCTCTCTCTCTCTCTCTCTCTCTCTCTCTCTCTCTCTCTCTCGCTCTCTCTCTCTCTCCGTGTACGAAAGCGCCGACGAAGGAAAACCGACAACCCGATTTTCGCGCGGAAAAAGGACGTCGACGCGCTGGAGAGAAACATCTCGCCGAAACATTGCCGCAGTGCACACACTGCGCGCCGTTGCAGCGTGCCATTGCAGCGTGCCATTGCAGCGGATCCATCACACACTCTCGCACTCCTGGGCTGCTGCAGCTACGTACCGCAGGACATCGGCAAAAAGTTGTTGGGAAGTTTGCTCGAACGTGCAACCGTGTGTCGGGGCAAATTGGCCTTTTTAAGGGCCGGCCGCCGGACGCGGCAGATGTTGCTTCCGCGGAAATAGCCGAACGTACGGATTCGCTTCTCAACTTTTCTGCAGTTGATGCCACTCCAGATGCGACGCGAGCGCGCGCTGTAATTCGCTTTCGCGATGCCGCTTTCGGTACTTGCCGCTTTTACGCGCCGCGGATCGTCGTCAAGCCTCGGCAATCAGCCCCCGCCCCCGAAATATGCTTTTGTCTTTGTGTAATTCGAAATTTACGGGACTGCTGCAACGCGCGTGCGCGCACGCACGCACACACACATACATACGCGCGCAGATTATATCCACTCGTGTTCGCGGGGCTTCAGAGCCGTGAATTACGACACAAGAAATATCTGTCAGATGAGAATCTGTTTATTGAATTTTTTCAGCCCGAAATTTAAACAAGGCTACAAATGTAACAAACAAACGGATTATGAGCGACACATTGTGTGTGCGATACTTTTCTCTTTATAATTTAGCAACGTTTATTCGTTAACGCAAAAGCGCTTTCTTTCGGCAACGTTTCAACTGCCAGCACGTTTTGGCGCGTATTAAGCGCGCGTTCTGTGTGTACCGCCTGTATGTTTTTTTTCCAGCTCACGTGCAAAAACACCGTGCAAAAGAGACTACATCAACGTAATAAATACGTTAGTATGTGTGAGTATTAAAGTTGCGGATGGCAAAAACGAGTAATGAAGTTACGGTTAACGAAAACGAAAATGAGATTTGGAAATGGAATTTTAGTATAGGTGGACGAAATGCTGGAAAATTGAAGACTGCTGTGTCTGTGACAGCGTCGCGATTAATCATCCCATGGCGATTACGCGTCGTTAATTAAAGAAAAGCCGACGAATTGACAAATCCTGTAGACGGTAAATAAATTGAAATTTGCTTTCTGACTCGATAATATGTGCCAACGTTTTCTGTTTGCCTCAATACGCTCCGGGGAGGGAAAGTTTTCGAAGCACTTTATATAATAATAAACGGAATTAGAAAGTACGGATTGAGAAAGTAGACTCGGGGGGGAAATTAAATTGAATCGCGCGCGAGTCTGATCAAAGAAAGACAAAGATTTGGGATTATTTCCCGTGTAGAAAATGTTTTAGAATCTATTTGGGTTCTATACCGATTTCCCAAAATATGTTTGGGTTTTAACTGGGAAATATATACAGATTCTAGTTAGAAGTGTAATGTTTTAAAAATGCGATTCTAAATGGGAAACACAAACAGGTCCTGTTTGATTACTCCCAACGTTTTCCCAAAAATGTTTCTGATTTTCATTTTACACTCTATGATAAGAATGAGATGTGCAATACCTTAAATATTTACACTTTACATATATATGCGTACACACATATACTTGTAAAATGTAAATATTTAAAGCATAAATACTTGAAACAATATTTTGTGAGTTTTTATCAAATAAATGAATATTTAAAACCATATATATTTTTTATTGTAAATATTAATATATAATAATTATCTCTTATATATACAACAATAATGCATATACATAACCGAATTAATAATATGATATATATATATATATTAATATATATATATCATATATATATATTAATTCGATTTTTCGAAACAAGTCAAATTATTTGCGAGAGAAATAATTATGAAAAAATATTAATAGAAGGCTTTCAAGCTAAAAAAATAATGAATATATATATAAATATCCGACAAACTCATCTAATTTACACATGTACGAATTAATCAAATTATCTTCAAATATAAAAATATATTCTATACATTGTATAAAACGAAAATGTATTATATTACGTCTGAATACGGAACAATTTAAGACAAAAAAAAAACATTTGTATTATCCCTATTGCATTAATAAAAAAAGGTTGGAATTTACACGTTATTCCGATTCTAGATAGAGAACCCATTTTTGGGTTCAAGAATGGGATTTCTAAGTGGTGTCGTGATGGGATAAGCTATTTTGGGACAAATTTGGATATTCTAGTTGGAATCTAAACTGTATCTGGGAAAATCCTAAGAAATTTCTATACGGGTTGTTACGACGTCGCTTATATCGCTCAAAGTTTAAGCGCGCGCGCGCGCGAAGATCCCGCGGATTAATAAATCTTACCGCGCGTGACGCGGTAACGCAGCGCTAAATCTTACGACATTGACGTGCGTCGACGTGCGTCAACTTGTGATCGATATGATCGTCTGATCAGACGTCGACGTCTACCGGGGGTACCTGCGAACTCGCGCGCACAGACACGCGTATATCGATTAATTCGTCGTCGTCGTTTCATTTACGTCGCCGTGTTCGGAGCATGTACGGCGGAAGTAGACGCAAATTGCACACGTAACTTCCCGCCGCGCGTTCTTGCCTTTCACGTGGGATTGTATTACGCTGCAAGAACGGCCTGCGGAAGTGGAGGCCGAGCCGCGGCGGCGATTAACGCGGAAATCGTGTTTGCCACGTTTCGTTCTACCGCGACTTCTTCAAATCTCCGGCATGTGAAAACGTAAATTCACCAGCGCGCGAACCGAATACGGGCGGAGCTGGGAACGCGGAATTACAATCGACTGGCTTTTCATTTCGATACGTAAATTGCAAACGTTGCGGACAACACGCGTACGCGCTCGATACATCTCACGGGCGTGGCGCGCGCGACGTGACGTTGTGACTGTGTGGTGCGTGTGTGACACCAATGATAATGCCGCGAAACGTGGCGTGTTTATCGATTCGCCGACTTTATTACCCGGCGCGCGAGCCCGCGATTCATATATTTCTGTCCTAATATCTCGTAATGTCCGCTATCGAGAATATATCCCGACGATGAGCCGCTCTCTTGCCGGATTAAAATGCGGCGCGCTGAATGTCAATCGCGCCGCCGAACTTTCTCGTCCATTCGCGAGCCCGCATTCGCCGATTCCGACGTATCCTCGATCACACTGATAAGCCGAGGAACGCAGTTGGCTCGAGAGAAAGACAGAGCGCCGTTGCGCTTACGCCGCGTTCGTTTAAAAGCGCGCATACTAAGCCAGTGTTTTTCAACCTTTCTTTTTTATCTCACGGCACACTTGAACCTACAGTCAACCTTTAGACGACCGGGGTCCAATATATTGGCGCGAAAGTGGCGCCATCTTTTTCGTCATTCAACCCAATAATGTTAATAATAATAATAAAAGTTCTAATACTTAAAATAAAAAAGTCGAAGAAAACAACTGCGGTGGTCTAAAGGTTAATCTTCCGCGGCATACTTAAATTATGATGATCAAAGAAAGAGTATAAAAAAGAATATACCTTTCTTGGTTTATTAACACAAACAAAATGTACCATCATGGTATCAGAAAATAAAACAAAACAATTTATTATAATTTGTAATAAAAAGATAACAATTAAAATTCTTAGAAATTTTCGCGGTACACGGTGTTAGATCCTCTCACGGCATACCGGTTGAAAGTCACTGCACCAAGCGGACGAACGATCAACAGCGCGAGCAACAACGAACAGCAAATTCGACGGAATACTATTGAGTACATGCGGTAGTTCATTTCCGAGCGTTTACCGAGTTCTTACATTCGATTGACATGTTCGTGCGCGCAGTCAATACCTACCACCACACACATTTGCCGAATTTCATTGTTTGCTCGCTCAGTGTATACGCGCCTTAATACTCGCTATTCCGCGACGCAGAATGCATCTGTGTGCGCGTGTGCATTCGCGCGTGTATGGCCGCGACGCGGCGAGCCGTCGCGGATAGTTCGGCGAGCGAGAAATGGAGAACGAGACTCGACAGTTGCAGTCGCTCGCGGTATTTGCATTCTTATGAGAATCGGCACGCGTCACGGCCAATTGAATCCCCCGGTGGCGGTAATCAAGTTTCGTACAGAGTAATACCCAATTATTACATTCGCTCCCTTACTCTCTCGACCGCGTCAAAGAGCAGCAGTTCCCGCTAAGTGCCCGCGGCGGGCAAGAAGCAGGAAATAGATCGATGCGCTTGTCGAGCGAGCTTGCGCGAAGAATGCGAAATTAGTGTGTTATTACGCGAGACGCGGGTCGCTCCGAGGACGGAGAACACATTTCGCCCGTGGAACGATCTTTGCATTTGCATATATACGCTTACCTCCTACGCTTGCCTCCCCGTCCCGACGCCTTCCGACGCGTCTGTCCCGTGTATTTATATTTATACTCTGCACCCGCGAGACGAGAGAACTTTGAGGGACGAAATATCGGCGTCGGCGTAATAAACGACTTCGGTGCCGGCGCAGCGTAAATGCAGCGGCGGGACCCGCACCATCCATATCCGGTCTGTACTACATACCGGTCGCTTAACTTCTCGCCAAACGGAGTCTTACCTTATTGCTGTTCTGCCCCATATCGAGCTCACGATTGTAGCGCTTCTCACCGTAGATCCAGTCCTGAATCACCTTCTGGATCTCCGGCTTCTCCGGGTCCACTAATCGAAAGGCTGTGATATTGGTCCCGCCGTGTCTGAATTCTTCCAAGTCGACGGTGTGCAGATCCTGGAAGAGAAAGAGGATTCCGCGGGATCGATCGTGACACGAATCTCTGTTGTCGGAAAGTAGCAAGTGGGCGGGGGGAGAGGGGGGGGGAGAATTTTCTCCTCTATCGACTTGGCGCCGCTGCGCCGTTGTGACGCGCGCGTCTCGCTCTTTCCTCTCGCCCCGCTCTCGCGATAGATTTCACGCGAATATTATTTAATCGCATTCGAAACTTTTTAGCGATTCTTTTTCGAACGCGCCTTTTCCGGGGACGCGCGCACGCGCGGTATATAAACGGTTACTTTAGAGAGAAATAGCGCTCGAGACAACGCCGCGCTGTTGGATGCGGCAAAAGTCAATAGGAGAATAAAGTAACTGCGTGAAACGGGCGCACTAATGTTGCGGATCGGAATGGCTTCCGTCGGAAACTCCGCTTTACGGTTTACCGCGGATTAATCATGTAAGATAAATCTCAAACGGATTCTCCGTAAAGCCCACGTGACATTAGATTTTCCGCAAGATCTCTCTGGAACAAAACGTTCCAGGACTTGCTTGAGATACGTAGTTAGGATCCCTAATCACTCTGACAGCGGTGGATGCCGAATTTAGTAGAAGCTGGACGTCGTTCTGCGTGATTTCGGAGATTGATGCTCCGCGCCCCCCCCCCCTCCCCCCCGACACGTCGGACAGAAGCTCGCGCTTTGGCTATCAACGTTACTCGCATTGATTGCCAATCGGTGAGGCCGCCACCACGTTGCGAGAGTACTTGGGAAGAATTCCGGGATCGGCGACGCGCGTGTCTGTAGTGTCCAGTGTGTTATAAATCTCCCGTGTTTCCCGGAACATATATTCGCTCCCGTTGACACCGGTTAGAAGAATGATGGCGACAAATCTGCTCGGGACTTTTGTACGAAAGAAACGATCTCTTGGAAATTACTTCTCTTTCGTGCGCGCGCGCGCGTGTATGTGTATGTATGTCCATCTTGTTACTTCACGAGTTCTCTTTTGTACATAATACGAACCGTCCCGCGCTTCGCCTTTCACGCGGCGTGACATTATTCTTTCGCGCTGCTTTTACTTGAAATCACCCCGCGCGAATGTGAATGTATTATTAAAATCTTCACGCGAAGAAACTCGCCGACCCCACGTGTAAAACTCCTCTCTGTAAACGGGAGCAATTTAAAATTGCATTGAATTGTTTGCCAGTGCCGCTACTGCAGTAACGAGAGAAGGGAAGAGAGAGAGGGGGAGAGAGAGAGAGAGAGAGAGAGAGAGAGGGAGAGGGAGAGAGGGAATCGCATATTTGCGCATTATTAAGTAAACACCCGTACATATACGCGAAGATACGCGCACAAGTGCAGCGACAAGCGCGTGTTGAATTCCGACAGAAAATTTAATTGGAGAATTGCTTGTATGATTGAACGCGTCGAAAATTATTAAGAGGTTTAAATCGCCACTAATGGCAGCCGCCGCCGCCGCCGTAACGTTTCTGCCGAATACGCGGAGACCGTCATCGTGTATTCATAAAAATTTCAGCTGAAAAAGAATAGAGAGCCCGACTGATATATTCAGTTCGTGCGACCGAGGAGGCAATTTTAACAAAAGTCAACGTAATGCGTTAATAGCGTCCAATTATCAGTCGTAACAGGTCGTTGCGGCTTATCCGGCACAACGAGCCACATCATTATCTTCCGTAATATATAAAAGTAACTCCGGAGGGTTACTTTTCTAGATTATACAGCGCGGCGTTGCACAGTGGGCCAGAATTCCAGAAGAGTGTCAAAAAATACATTTTTCGACTGTTTCTGGATTTAAACAAATACATGTCTATTTGATAATATTAATGTCAAACTGATGAAATGTAAAATGATTTTTCTCTTAGACATATACTAAGGTCGCAAGATATTCACAAAGTTGACGTCTTTAACAAATGCCACCGATTGTCACATTTAACTGATACAAAAGATATTTTTATCGAATAAAACAAGCTATAAAATAGTCATGAATAATAATCGTTATAATATAAAGAAATTCTATGACTCTTCCTCTTTCTAATAGTATATAATAAATTATAAAAGAATAATTTTATTACCATATAATAACGCATCAAAACTTAGTTCGCTTGCACGAAAATATCAATGCTATCTTTCAGAGCATATCGATTTTTGAGAACGTACTCGTCGTGACTCGTCGATTGGGCTTTAATCGGTTTTGTAACTGATGCTTCGTACTTTAATATCCAGAAAAGATCGTCTGCTTTTATCTGCTCTTACGACAGCTAGAACAAAATAATTATTGCAATATTGATAGATACGCAATGTCCCGAAAAATCAAAATATTGAAATTTGAAAACTAGGACTATTTATCGACAAGTCATAATATTAAATACGAATACTGAGACAAATTATCGATACATACACACACACACACACATACATATATATATATGTATGTATATACACATAATGAAAACAACAGATTTTTTGAACACTTCGAATACGACTCACACTAACAACTGGTAGTACAAGAAATATGACAATCTCTTTAAGCCATGTAAAGTTCTTGTCCTTAAACTGTATTATATTTCCTTAAAAAGATTACTACCGCTCATTATATACAAAAGCAAACTTGCAAGCATAATAATAATAATAGTTATTATTATAATAATTATTATTATTACTATTATTATAATTGTAATTCTATAATCACAATAAAATTAACGATATTCAATGATTAAGTGATATTAATGACATGTATTTGTTTAAATCCAGAAACAGTCGAAAAATGTATTTTTCGACACTTTTCTGGAATGCTGGCCCACTGTGCGTTGCAGGGCGCGATGCATCGCCATTTATACTTTCTTCCCCGGGCGCGGTTGGCAGCTGAGTGGGAAGGACGTGCGAATTTGCGTCCTTCGCGATGTACTCCTGCCGGCTATCGGCAAGAATAAAGATAACTCAAGTATGAAACGCGCGCGCTCGCACCGCTCCTCGCCGCACCGTTATCCTATATCGCCGCTAGCCGACGTGATTTAAAGTCGTAGCTCGAAGGCGCGTCCCCGACCCGTCTTCTCGGATACTCGCGGAGGAGCCCGCCGTGGCCATTTGTTATCCTTTGTCCCGCATCCGGAACATGATAGATAAATCCGGTATTCCGGATCCGCTGTCTTCGCGAGTAGATCGGCACGCTCGGCGACACGTCGCGTCGGTGCCGATGCCGTCGGCGCATCGATCGGCCGTCGTAGCAATCGATCATCGCCACACCCCGGCTCGCATCCGCGCTCGCTCTCTCTCTCTCTCTCTCTCTCTCGCTCCGTTCTTTCCAGGCACGCAACGATGTGACCGGCGCGTAGAATGACGCGCGATAATGGCGACTCATGAGAATGTGTCCGCCCGTCTACGAATTTCTTCGCTCTCTCTTTCTCTCTTCGCCCTTCTTTGCCCTTCCGCTCCTACCTTTTTACTGCCTCTCTGGGGATCGTGGCGCGACGATCGCCGGCCCCGGGAAAAGCAATACGAAGATAAGGGTCGTGAAAAAAACCGTCTGGAAACGTGTGGCCAGTACGTCTTAGGATCGATAATATGCAGGCCGCTCTAAAATTCGACACAGTCGGACGTGTCTCGGGGTTGATCTTCTCTTGACCGAGTCGTTTTCAATGGTGGCAGTTTAATAGAGAGAGAGAGAGAGAGAGAGAGAGAGAGAGAGAGAGGGGGGGGAGAGAGAGATCGTTTCTGTTCTCGCGGGATCTGCAGCTAAAAACGCGGATAGGGATCTCGTGCGACTTTTCTGCTTTATTTTGCGAGACACGGCATCGTCCAAGCGTGCCGCGCTCGACGGCGAACAAATTGCGTGAAGGAGCCGAGTCTCGGTCGTGAAGGAAAAATTCACTCCGAATCAGCCGAAGAATTTCCAATCGCTCCATACGCGCGAGTGACGCGCGGCTGACAGCCGCCATGAATATTCATTACGAACACTCGTTAGTTTTTAACGAGCTTACAATATCGTTTATCGCTTATTTTATCATCGGGAAATCATCGCGCTGTTCCATTTACCCGGCAGATTCAATTATCTCATTGCCGCGTAATACTCGATATAATATCACATGTATGCGCCGGTTATTACCGCCGTCGTCGTTAGAGCAGGAGGAGAAGGAGGAGGAGGAGGAGCAATAATGAAACCGGGCAACGTGGAGGAAAACGCGAAAGCGTCCTGTGGAAACACAACGGCGAGTGGCCTCTGTTATTGCAACTTGCCCGCCGACGACGATCCGCCGTCGCCATCGCGTGTTGCGCGTCTCCCCCGTGCGAAATTTTGCGAACGCGTCGCTTCAAAATCGTGACACGCGTCCATTTTCGCTCGCCCGTTCGCGCGCGCACGCACACACACACACACACACATATATATATATATACATCGCGTCGAGCTGCGCCTGCAAGTCACACGCGCGAATAACGATAGCTATCGATCGCGACTCGATCTCGCAGTCGCAATCGCTGCATGAAATATCCGCCGCCGCCCCCCCTCCCCCCCCCGCGACCCGCCCCTGTCCGTGTACGCCTTCCGTCCGCTGGGAAACGTATCACCGCGCGCGCTCCTCTTCATCTCGATGCGAAAGCAAAGGAGTGTGTAAATACGCGTGCTATCGGATTTTTGTTCGCCTGCTGAAGACTAAAAACAAAGAGAGCGCACGCAGCGCGCGCTGTTTTTTTTTTTTCCTCGACGCGTTATCAGCAGCCGCGGGATATGGCGGCGGCGGATCCGGCAAGAATATCGCTTTTCACACAGCGTGTCCGCATCGCGCGCTCGCGAGGCACTGCCGGGGTCTGTCATTAAATTCCGCTCGCTCGTAACTTGTGCGTTGTGTTTGAAACGGGAACAACGCGGGTGCGAGCGCCCGCCCGCGCGAGTATGTACGTGGGCGCGGAGAGTATCATCGAAGCCGTTTGACAGATAGTTCGTACATGGCAGATGTGCCCGCGCGCGGACCGCGGTAGTGCATATGTCGAGCAGGCGGAATATTTCAGAGCGGGAGGCTGGACGTTTAATTCGCCATCGATTACACTCATAACGAACGCGCTCGATCGTGTCGCGAGTGGTCGTGTACCGGCGACCTCCTCCGCCCGCCCTTCATCGCCTTGTATTTTGTCACTTTTTTGGAAAAGGGCGGGAGAAAAAAAAACAAGCGCGGCAACGCGCGCGATAGAGCTGCCCTCGCGGTGGGATACTTCGTATCTTCCGCGCGCGTTACGCGTGCGGAAACGGGGATTATAAATTGCCGATAGGACGTGGGGATTAAAAGTCGATCATAAATTCATCTTCGATCAGAAAAAAAGACCTCGAAAGCAAGGGAAACACCTGAACCCCCCAGATCCAGCGATCGTGAGCCTCGGATCCGTTCAAAATATTTCGCGATTCTCCGATTTTGCAAAAAAAAAAAAAACGGGAAAAAGGGGAAAAAAGAGGAAACGACAGTTACTTTATCGCGCGAAACCTCGCCCGGGAAATGTATTCGATTTCGAGCCACGGCAGCGTATTTTCCACGAGCCCGGCGGTTCGGCGATCCCCAGAGAGTGCAAGGCGAAAATCCTGCCGGCGTATCATCGCGAGCGATGGATGCCCGTAATAAGAACCTTAATGGCGGCCAAGGCTATAACGACTATAACAATCATCGTAACCGTAACGGGCATAATAACCATAATGAGCGCGCAGGGGACACGCGGGCGGCGCTAAATTCGACGGAACAGGATGCTGCTGCGAGATTCGTCTCTCTCTCTCTCTTCCTCCTCTCGCGCAGCGATAAACGGCGGACACTATAATTTCATTGCGAAATCACTGTTTCATGGGCCGGACTTAATTCGATGAAAGGTAATTCGTCGAAAGCCAAGCGAAGTGACTGAGCAAGATTCATTAATGCTCTCGCCCGTGCCGGGAAACGGCGCCGCCGTCGCCGCGATGTGTGTACGTACCTATCCTACCTATCCGCCTACGTGTAACAGCCATGCAGACTTCCTGATCGCGGCGCGGAAAGGTCAGGTTGATGGATGATGGTCAATTTTTCCCTCCGAGAGTCTTGACGACTGGTCGACGTGAGTGAAAATAAATAGCTCCGACTCGGAACATATCGTCCCGGGGATCGAGCGAGACACCGTTGAATTCCCACGTGCGCGCGCGCGATGGAAATCGGCCGCGACATTGCGGCAATGATTAAGCAGTCTTATCCTTTTCATCTCTCACCTGCTCTCATCTGCCGTCGACGCGCGACCGATCCGGCCGCGGCCCGCGAGTCCAATTTATCACTCTCGCTTTTCCGGTATTAAAGATCCGCGTCGTTCGCGCGATAACGCCGCGAAAGCTGCGCGCGCTTGGCCGCCGCCGCCGCGACGTTGCCTTCGCGTGGTCGAATAATAATTAATATTCGAGACGGACGGTCGTAATGGGAATTAATAGCGCAGCTCGATAGCGATTTCCGCGGCCGCGCGGAACGGGCATAAATAACTAATCGAATCGACGGCCGACTTTATCGCGGCAAACTTTGAATTGAGGTAAAACTCGCGACTTTGCGAGCCTGGTCTGAGGTGTCGCGTCGAACTGAAACAATCGAATTTAGGCTGCCGTACCGGAATTGAATCTCGCGTTGTTTAACGAAACAATAATTTCAAAAGGCATCTCAGAGTTCCTCGTTATTCCTCGCTCGCGATTCTCGAGCGCAGCTTGAATGAGCAGAATGGCAATTCTACGATTGTCGTCGTGATTTGTCATCGCGATGCTACGGCGAATGTACGGTTGTCCACATAGAACAAGCCGACCATCGTCGGTAGAGCCAGCGGAAAGACGCCGGAAGAAAGCGTATCTCGATTCTCTGCCGCGCCTGAACAAATACCCTCGCTGATTTACATTTTAATGGATCTAAATTGAAATCTGGTGGAGGGGGCGCCAAGATAAATTGCACCGCTCGCGGTTATATAGCGTGTCCGTTTAAAGCCCTATTTATTTTTTATCGCTTATTGCCGTCGCGCGCGGACGTCGTCCTCCTTGTCGTTGTCGTCGTCGTCGTTGGCGGCGGCGGCGGCGGCGGCGACGTCTCGTCGTGGCGTGGCGTGACGTTTCGTCCGACACGACGGCACCCGGTTTCCGCTCGCGTCGCCGAGGCGACTGTAAATTACTAATTATCCTCAGACAGCTTCCAATTTAACTGTAGCAAGCCGACGTCTTCGCTTTTTACTCGCTCGAATAAACTCTTGGAGGAGGATGGTGTTGCACGCTTCGCGCTTACGCGAGACGCTCTCGTTCCTTTCGCGACGAGGTTGCCGGCGCATCTGCGAGAGAGGCGAATTTTCATCCTCACAGCTCGAGCTTCAAGCGGTAGTTGTTAACCCGTTGAAAAGCGCAATATCGCGCGACTATCCTTATCGATCTCGCGGGAGGGAGCAACTTGCTTGCGATATTCGCGCCGAACCCCCGCCGAGAATTCCGTCCCGCCGCGAAAATAACAGCGAGCTAACGCCGAGGATGCCATTTAATGCTGCATCGAACCGTTTCCGCGTTCAGCTGCATCTTCAATCACTGCGCGCAGCGGAGACAACGGAAAGCAATCTCTGGCCAGCGCCGTCGTTCGCACGGTAATCGATTCCTTCGCTCTTCTTAACGGTAATTTACGAGGTACTCGAATATTCCGGCGGTGAAGTTATTGGGCCCTCGGTCGTCGAGACTTTCGGCGGGCGGCGTTGCAGGAGAAGGAGAGGAGGAGAAGAGGAGGAGGAGGAGGAGGAGAGAAAGTCGGCTCTTGGAGAAGAGCCGGGGGCCGCAGGTGCCGCGGACGATGAAGATCGCGCGCGAATTAGCCTTACGAGCGCTATACGACCCGTGCGATTTCGCGGTTACGTTTAGCCGGGATTATCTCGCAGCCGGTGACGAACGGCAAGTCGATCGCGTTTAATCGCGTTTAATCTGGGTACCCACCAGAGAGGTGATAAGGTAGCTGTGATAGTCGCTCATCATTCCGATCTGCTGCGCCTGCTTCAACACGTCGTAGATCCTCTCGGTGGAGCAGTCCAGCACGATGTGCGACTCTGCGGAGTTCTTGATCTGCTTCAGCATCGGCCTGAAACGGACGAGCGGACGGTAGGTAACGTGTTGAGTAACGTAACAGATTTGTCATCGCGCGGATGAGACGCTCGCGCTGACTAAAACGTTGCAGTCAGCGCGAGCGAATCGGCGAAACGCCTCTCCCCTCGTTGCATCGCGCGGACAGAATTCGCGTCGCTCTCGCGCACGGAATCGATTCCGGCTGCGTGAGAGATGATGAAAAAACTCGACGACCGAGCGAAACGTGCCGCGTACGTGTGTTTGCGCGAAGATATATATCTATATACAAAGAAAATAACGCACCTGTGCACCCCTGTGCAGCGCTGTTTGAAAAAGGTCGGCACGAATTTTCCGGATAATCGAATACAACGTTTAGATATCCATTACATTGTTCTGATAGTTTTCTGCCGGAAAGTAGCGAGGAAGTTTGCAGGAAGTAGCGAGCATTCTCGCTTCGATTAGACTTGCAAAATTTATGTTCCGATGTCGCACAAAGAGAGAGAGAGAGAGAGAGAGAGAGAGAGAGAGTGGAAGGGGGAGCGGAGAAAAGGCAAACAAACTAGCTGGAAGGCAGCGTTTCAATTATTGGGCAGCGCCCAAAGGTGCCGACGAGTCAACTGGAAAAGTCGTCGGACTGGACTAGTTAATAGAAATCGATCGATGTGCGACAAGCTGTCGCTGCAGGAGGAACGAATGTCACAATGTAATATCCAACTTGGACTCTCCGCGTGCGCCCCTCGCTTTCGCTCGCTCGCTCGTTTGTTCGTTCGTTCGTTCGTCCGTTCGTTCGCTCGCTCGCCCGCTCGCGATGCTCTTCGGGGACCGAGCGGTTCCGATTCCGGACATGCTTTTCGCCGTGTACTGCTGATAAAAATTTCATACCGCGCCGGCTGCTCTCTCCGGCCTCTCGGCCGTCCTTCGGGCTCCCTCTCGCTTCCCGTCATTCAACATGCACGATAATGCGAATCTCCTTATGCAGCCGGTGGAAGTCGGAGCCAGGCTCGCCCTGGGAATTTTTCATGCTCTATGCATAATTTAGCGAAAGTGCCCTTTACGCGCGTTGCTCTCGCAGCCGTATCGTCCTGTGAATTTCGCAACGTCCCCTTCCCCCCGTCGCGGCGGCGACGATTGCGTCTCTTCCCGCGTCCGCGGGACTTTATCGAACAACGGGACCGCGAGACGGCGAGAGGAGAGACGGCGGTAACGGAAGAGGAAGAACCACGACACTTTCGAATAAACAATTGCGATTCTCCCTCGGCTTCCGACGGCGTTTCGATTATACTCGCGGGTTCAGTCGCGTCGCGAGACGAATCCGTCTCGTGAACGCCTGTCGAAGTTAACGCTCCGCGTTAACTCTTTCTCGGCGAGCGTCGGCGATTTCCCAGCGGGCGCGAACTGGACAAAAGAAACTGTGTTTTCCCCCGCGAAGGTTTCCCGAGGATTAAGAGGAACATGTCGCGCGATATGTCGGCGCGAGAACGGTAGTTGGAGAGCTCTCGGTTAAATCGCTCACGTTGCAGCATCGTTCACGGTCGGGAGCTGTCCGTCGCATCGATTGATCTCGCTCGACGTCGGCCGGGCGAGAACAATTCCCGGAGATTACGGCAAACACACGTCGACAATTATAAACAGCGGGGAGGCGGAGGGGGGGCGGAACGTCGCTCCACATGATCGGCATTGCGACCGCGTTGTTCCCTCGTAGCGGCACTTTGCTACAGCAATAAGCACCCCCAACAGCGTGACGTGTTCGCGCGCGATACACCGCCGCGCGCCTTCTCAGTGGCTTTACGATATTACCGGCAGGGACAGCCGTGGAGCGCCTCGAAATACTGCGCGACATCATTTCGGTGTCTCAACAACGGCGCGGCGCTTACTCGCATTTTGTCACCTTTTAGCTTCCTAAGGGCTTACCGTGTTTTCATCGAGTTACTCGGCAGCTTCGGCTCTTACGCGAGACTACCTCGAGCGAGTCGAGGTAGTCGGGCTGGTTAGAGCCACTTGAGAAATTCTCTGTGTGACCTGTACCGCCACGGTGCTCTCGGACCCTGGTGTTAGTCGGTGTCACGGTTGCGCGCCGTGTTAGCTTACGCTGATGCACGCTGGTGTTGGGGTCGAGCGCGGCCGATTTAACGCCTTCGGAAGCACGTTCAATCTCCCGAACGATCGCTTCCTTCTCACGGCGCGGCTGTTTTTCACTTCGCTCCCTACTGCGACAGAGACGCGCGCGCGCGCGCGCGCGCGGTCTTCTCCGTTGACGTAATCCTTGCCATTTTTACAACTCTGGCCGTTGCGGTCTCGTGATTTGAAACGTCGGGTAAGTCGGGTATTGTGTCGAGAGGCGAGCAGGGCTGGCGAGGTTAGCGTAGAACACGCGGCTCGCGCGCTCGCGATTTCCGACGAGCGATTTAACCGTGTTCCCATCACTTGTCGTTATTGCCGTGCGAGCGACGATTAATGTAATAATTTGCTGATATTTGCCGTATTATTTGCTGTTAATATTATCATAACTATGCAATTGCAACGATCGTCGCTCCAAATTAGTCATGACAATATCGTGTGTTTGTGCCGATTCTAAGCCGGGCATATTTTCGATCACGCTCATAGGTATAGATGTTACGGTGATTATGCCGAGTTAGCGCATAATCCGAGGTAGACATTCATCCGATAGCAAGGGTTAATGTGTATTATACGTGTGTACGCGCGGAATAATTCGCTGATCGATTCGCCCGGTTCCCGCATATTTTGAATATGTAAAATTCGTTTCGCGCGCGAGTCGAATATGTGCTCTGTGCTGATAAAACGCTGATATCTCTCGCTGTATTCGAACGCACCGAGCGCGCGTCGGATTATTTTGCAAATTTTTGCGAAGTCGGGGCGCGACCCCGCCCCCACCGCCGCCGCCGCCGCCGCCGCCGAAATATCGCGAATTTTTCATCACTGCGCGGACCCGGCACCTCATCGATTTCGACGCTCGATGCTCGAGAGCGCACCGCCGCGCCGCTTTTTCCGGCCGCTCGATTTATTTCGTTCTCATTAAACGCGCCATAGATATCCGTGCAATATCACGAATATAAATCCACACAGGGAGTCGACAGAGAGAAAGAAAGAAAAAACGAGTGTTACTTGCGCGCGTGGATTTGATAATGTTCGTGCATGATGATCGTTGATTAATGCGGTCGAAATATCAATAATATCGAAGTACGAGTTCCTGCGCGCGACATAAATTTCTGTCCGTGTACGTATTTACGAAGGAAGAACAGGCGAAGAACATGTAAGCGAACAGGGGCAATCGTTTTGTGCAATATGAACTATACGGGGGAGGGCGCAAACTTTGTCAGCGATAAGTAATCGATACGTCTCTCTGTGAGAGGAGAGGAAAGGAGAGAGAAAAAAGGAGAGAGAGAGAGAGAGAGAGAGAGAGAGAGACGCTCTCCGCGTTTGCTCGAGCTTTCCCTCTCGACGTAATACCCGCTTTCGCGAGCCCTGCTTTCGAGAGAATCGAACGACCCAACGTAAGACGAGCAAACATCTTCCCCTCTTGCCCTCTTCTTTCCTTTTCTTTTCCCGTAAGGAAGCCACTCTTCGTGCCGTACTTTAGTCGAGACCGTCGTCGCTGCAACGTGAGATAACTTTCGAGATGGCTCGCGCGCGATAGTCAACCTTCCCTTCGGCGGCAGTCTGCGGGAAATGGAGAGACGTCACCGCGCGCGAAACGTACGTCGCGTCGCGGCGAGTCGCGGCGCGGCCTCTTGGCATTTTGCTCTTTGCCGCGCGACGGAACGCGCGATCTCGCGCTGATAATGATTAATCTTCCGCGACTTTGCGGCAGGATCGTCGCGGATTATCGCGATTCAGTGCGGACGCAGGGTCCGATAAGCCCGACCAGAAATTTATCCCACGGTCCTGATCAGGTTAACCTCATTGGGACATCAGGTCCCAATAAGGTGACAGTATCGGGTTCTGGTAAGTCATGTGACGCAGCGTGGATATCAGGACCTTAGTAAGGATTCATAGTCAGGTCCTTATTGAGTCATGACCTTGTGGAATCCTTATTGCGTTTTTTGTTTCAAATTATGGCTCCTGATTACTCGCCACGGCTATATTGGATAATGACATTAGGAATAAGAAATGACACATTGAAAATTCTTTCATGTCATTTCCAAGTAAACAGATATTTGCATGAAATAATATTTCAGATCGCTTGATCGCATACTTGTAAAATGTTTCGGAAAAGAAACATAAAATGAATATCATAAGATCATAGAGTATCACAAGGTGACAAGACATAAAGTAGTGTTAAAGAGAAAAGTTGCATGTCACGTTAATTTTACAATTACGTACTTATTGACTGCTAATAAAGGATAATTTCTATAGCATTTTACAAATATATTCAAGTGATCTGAAGTGTTTTTTCAATGCAAACGTCTTTATATTTGGAAATGACATCCAAAAATTGTTTCGTTAAAACTCGATGATGCAAATCATATTAGGCGCAATGAATAAGATCCCGACAGGGACCTGATTAACTGAACCATATTATGTATATCATACACTAGATTGATACATTGAGCTCCTAATGTGGGTTTCATTATAATTTCATTTCATTATAACCTTACAAAAGTCTTCCTTACTCATTTGTCGTTAGGACATTGTAAGGACTGACTTACTTAGGATTACCTTTCACTCACCCTGTTAGCTCCTTATCAACGTTAGGTGAACCTGATCAAAATTTCCAGTCGGGAATACCTTGTTGCCCGCGAAATGGAGAGTGAAATGCCAATAAAATCTTTGAGGGCTTTCGTGTGTCGCGGCGCGAAAATATTATCAGAATATGCCCCGGCGCGGCGTTGCGCCGGGCAAACAAACGTAATGGCGATATCATTATGTGCACAACGTGCGCTCGTCGCCAGTAATGGAGATACATCGTACACGTACCGATATTTACCGGATCAAATAAATAAGAGTTTAATGGATTGGCGCGCTCGTTAGGATATTGCCGATGGTGGAGCCGATGGTGGAGCGCACAGCAGCAAGAAGGATCGTTCATCAGGTGTGCCCTTCCGATCGAGAGACGCGGGCCGGCCGATTTATA